CACATAATAGCAAGGGCGTCGAGGAACGGGAGGTCGGCGAGTGAAAGCGCGCATTCCCAGGCATCTCTAGGGAGCCTCAGAGAACGGTGACTGGCAGGACCGGGGTGGGAGCACGGCACCTTAGCGTACAGTTTACGAGGGATTGTGGCGGGCTGGCTCTTCATCCCGAGTCGTTCTTGACGGCCCCGAGTGCCAGCCAGGGCCGCAGGAGGCAGAAGACAGTGAAACACCTTCCGTCGCGGCGTCTCATGACGCGAGGGATCTGGGGCCGTCTCTGGAGATGCAGCAGGTGCGTCAACCTAACCCTCCGGGGCCCCAGGCGGACTTCTTGGGTCTGCGCTGGGCCCCCGGCGCCGCTCCTGGCGCGCCGGGAACGGGCTCCCGGGCAGGGGCTTAGGCCTCTACAGAGGGATTTCCACATCACCGCAGCGTCGGGGGCTCGGAGTTGTCTCCACGGCTCGGTCGGCCCGGCCGCGTCGCAGCCGGTTGCGTTGGGTCCGTTTGCCTCGCTGGGCCGTGCGGGTGTCAACCTCTGCAACCTGGGAGTTGGCAGGGAGAGCATTCATCACTGTGTCATTGGGAGCTGGAGTGAGTGCAGGGAGCAGGAGCACCTACGCCTCGCAGCCTGTTGGCCCCCAAGGGGCCGATGGCCCCCAAGGGGTCGGCGGATGCCACATGACGGGGGGGTAAACAATCTTGACCCTCGATCCAGTTCCTCTCTCCCTCCCTCTCTCCCTCAACCCTCCCTCCGCACGGATGGAGCACGGGTTATGCCCCAAGCCTAGCTGTCCTGACACGCACGTGCTGCAACACAACAGGCAGCGTCTCGCGCACGTGCGTGTTGGCCCACGCTCTGGCGAACGTATTGCGCCAGGCCTGCGGCTTCCGTCGACGCGTTGAGCTCCGCGTCAACCCGCTGCGGGTTGCGCGCGGCGTCCGAGGTAGCTAGGGCTCCAAGCCCTCGTTCGACGACAACCCCTTCCTTCGCTCCCTCTTGCTGCCCTTCCCCTGCCATCGACATCATCCCAGCATACTTGTACGACGTGTGCGTCAGTCTCCTAAGGTCATCGAGGATAAAAGAACCCCCAACGTGGACTCGCTGAGGGCCCCGTCCTTGCACCAGCGAGAAACATTCTGGGCGGCCCGGTTTGGTGCATCTGCAGACCCCGACCCTCTAAGAGGGCTAAAACATTTCACAATGACGTCGACGTCCTAATCCCTGTCGAGGTTTGAGGCACTCCAGATAGATCCCAGAGGTCTGGAGTGCTATTTTTTAGCACTCTGGAAGGTCAGGGGAAGAGACCCCCCTATCCCTAGCGTTTTTGTTCGCCCTCTTCGCGTGGGTCCCCCCCCCCAATGGGTTAGGTTTTTGGGGGGGGGCTGATCATCAGGGGCGACGCGCGCGCTCAGAAGTCCTACAACACATGCCCGGTGGCGGGCACTCGCCCCACCGCCTGGGCCGCGGTATGCTTCACGATGCTTTTGCAATGTGTTCGGCTCTGGCGCTCGCCGCCGAGGGGGCGGGCACACAGTGCTGCCGGCAAGCTGGATGCACATGGGGCGTTCCAAAGATGGGGGTTTGCCTTCGGGGATCGGAGGAGTTGTCGTCTCTTCCGCCGCGGAAGGCGGCAGAAGGGCGGCGGAAAGTCGGCGGAAGTAAAACGAGGCCGCCTCCGCCGGCGGTCGCTCATGTGTGCGTGTGTGTGTGAGTGTGTGTGTGTGAGTGTGTGTGTGTGTGTGTGTGTGTGTGTTTCCAGCTTCCCCGTAGAGATGCAGGATCATGCTGAAGAAATTCTTGACGCTTTGCGTATCCCCCACCAGCGCACTGCTGTCTGTTTCACTTCGGTGTGGCCGGCGCCTATGTGCGTTTGCCTTAATGCGGAGCATTTTGCTCAGTGCATGTGCACTCCACGCATCGTGTGTAATTTGCCGTGTTCCGTTGCCCCCGACATCGCTTTTGCCGGCTGACCTTTGTCGCGCGGCCGCCGACCAAAAAAGTATCCCCACCAGCCGCGGCTTGCTTTCTCTTTCTGTCTAGTTCTCTGGTTCCCGTCTTTCTCGGTTCGTTTCGCCTTTCTTGCTCTCCTCGTGTATGTTTTGGTCTTTGCTTCCGCTGCGTAGTTTTCGCCACCGTTGTGGCCCCCTTTTCCGCGTGCTGCCTGCGTTTGGTCTGCACTTTCGCGACTTGTTCGACGGCGCGCGGCTGCCCGCGTCGCTCGCGAGCAAAAAAGTTTCCCCACCAGCCTTTGCGACTCGCCTGAGTTCGCTGCCCCCGCCCGTTCGGGGTTGACGGACGGTTGGTCCTCCCCCACGTCGCCTCCCCCAGGGTCGGTTTGTACCCCTGGCTTTGGCGCCGCCGCCTCCAGCGCAGGGCGTGGCCTTTTCCGCTGGCTCGTCGCTTCGCTGCTCCTGTGTTTCCCTGGCGGTGCCTCTCCTGCTCCCCCGCCGTGGTGGCGCTTCCGCCGCTGGCACGCTCCCGCTCTTGGCGATCCGGAACCCTTCCGTTGAGCACCTGCACGCCCGTTCGTCGTCCTCTTCGGCTGCGTCACGGAGGTCTTCGAGTTCGCCGGCTTCTTGCCCATCGCCATTTTTGCGCTGCACGTCGGCCTTGAGCCCTTCCTGGTCCTCCGCGTTTTCTGAGCCGCAGCGTAGTTCGCTCCTGTGCGCTTGGTGCGTAATTTAGGCCGCTGCAGTGTTGCTTCGTTCTGACGGCGCGCGGCTGTACCGCTTGCGTTCGCGACCAACAAAAACGTATCCCCACCAGCCCATCCAGAAACAGATCACCAGGCGTTGCCTTCAGCAGGGAAGTGTAGAAGCATGCGGTCTAGCAGCCGCCCTGGAAGTGTTTCCAGGAGGTCTCTTGTGTCGCTCTTGGGGTCCTGGCGGAACCAATTGGGGCTTTCGGGGGGGCCCTCTTGGGGCTTCTGTACGGGGTCTATGGGGCCTTTTTGGGGCTCTTCGGGGGGTCTGGTAGGCCTCTTGGAGCCATCTTGGCACCCGAGGCTTAAAAAAGAGAGGGGTGAAGGATTCCGGTCCCCCCCCCCCCCCTCGGTGTCTCAAACATGTAACGTTGAGGTCCTATGGGGCCGTTCTTGGAGCGCTCTTGGGCGCTTTTGGGGCCGTCTCGGAGCCCTCGTGGGTCCCTCTCGGGGTTCTTTGGGCCATCTTGGGGGTCAGTTTGGCCTCTTCGGGGGGGGTCATTGGATGGCTCGGGAGGCACTTGGAACCATCTCGGGGCCGCCTTGAGGCCTCTTGGACGTGCGTCGGCGGTTATCTTGAGCAAATTGGGAGCCATCTTGGGGTCTCTGAGAGGCCCTCCTGGAGCCATCGTGGGCGATCTTGGGAGCTCCAGCGCCTCGTGGCCCCCCCCCCATCTCCCAGGCCCAGGGGAGGGGGTAGCCGGAGGGGTCGAGGCCCCCCCTTCGCCCGCAAGCCGTCTCGCTCACTCCCACCCGCCCTCCCAACACATAAGTAACACCGGGGGGGGCTTCATCATATTGTTTCGGAGCACCACGCATGCCATGTGCGCCACGGGTCCCAGGTGCACGGCGCACCGTGGAGGCTCAAGCGAGCCAGGCGCGCCAGATGCGGCACGTGCTCCACGTTGAAGAAATACGCCGACACCTTCGCCGCCCCTGTCAAAAACCAATGCAAAGTGGTCGCGGGGTGCCCGCGCATGCTCCAGATGTGGAGGCTACGTGCGTTCCGTATTGGTTTTCGATTGGGATGGTTGGCCTGCGCGCAGCGAGCAATATGACAGCACCCCCGCCGTCCCTTTTCAAAACCAATGCGAAGTGGTTTCGGGTCGCCCGTGCAAGCTCCAGATGCGGAGGCAAGGTGCATGATGTTTTTTTGTGTGACAGGGATGGATGGTTTGCGCGCAGCGAGCATTATGACAGCACCCCCTCCGTCCTTATGAAAAACCAAAGCCACGGGGTCGCGTGGCGCCCGCGCATGCCCCAGATGTAGAGGCAAAGGGCATTCTGTAGTGTTTGTTGACAAGGATGGTTGAACTCCACGCAGCGAGCTATATGACGGCACCCCCGCCGTCATTGTCAAAACCAATTCCAAGTGGTCGCGGGGCGCCCGCGCATGCTCAAGATTTGGAGGCAAAATTCGTTATGTAGTGTTTTTTGGAAAGGGATGGTGGGGGCGGAGGCATGTTTCGGGTTGGCCCACAGTCGGGTGGGGAAGGGGTGTGTATGTTCATAAGGAACAGTGATGAATCCCTCCCCCGAGCACAGGAAGGAGTGATAGTGGCAGGGAGAAGAACAAATTGTCAAACCACATACGCCCAGATGGCTGGTGGGAATACAGGGGGTCGTGTTCACGCGGCGGCGCCCAGGGTTGGGGAACTTTTTGAATCGTTCCCTCACGCCCTCCTCGGGCGCGCGCCTGGACGGCCGACGGGCCAGACGGAGCCGAAGCGAAGCGGACACCGAAGATCGGGAAACTATGTTTTTAACCGTTCCCCCCATAGTTTCTTATTCACCATCATCTTACATTACGGCGGGGGCGCTCGTTAAGGAATGTGCCCAGGAGGCATCAGACCCTGGAATATGCCCTCCCTGATGAGGGCGGCGGTGATATTCGTGGCCAAGCCTCAATGGGATATCCACCAGCTTCCATAATCGAGAACATAGAACCCCGAATCGAATCCTAGTAGCACGATGAAGGCACGGCCTCGCTGAGGTCCCCGTCTTTGCATTCGGGGTTATAGATCCGGGCGGCCTTGTCTGAGACGTTTGCAGACAAAGCCCCTTTGTCCCTCCTGTCTTCGGCCCTCCTGCCTTAGGTCCACGCCCAATGGGTCAGGTTTTTTTTGAAGGGCCTCCCTTATTTTTTTGAAGGGCCTCCCTTGTCCACCGCCCCCACCGCCTGTCCTCCTGCGCTCCCTGGCCGCCCCCCCCCCCCCCGCGGGGCCCGCGGCGGCGCCCACGCCCGCGGAGCTCTCTTCCGCGCGGCACTCGCCCTCGGCGCCCGCCACCTCGCCCGGCCCGAGTGCGGTAGGCACTGGCCGGACCCCCGCCCGCCGAGCACAGCTGGAGAGCGAAGGGAGCGCGTGCCCACCTCGGGGAAACTCGGAGGAGGAGAAGGTACCTTTGCTGCTACTCTTCCCTCGTTTTCCCCTTCTTGGACCTCCTGGGAGGCCCTCGTCGCCATAACCAGATTCACCTCGAGATCCTGGTCAGAGCGCACTCCGGGAGAGGTCAAGGGGGGGTATCGGTATCGGTACCTAGAGGTTTTCCCAGAAGCGTAAGTTCGGATGCCGTGCCTGGGAGGTCAACGTGTGACTCTGCCCTGGTCCGAAATCGGGCTCCTAATCCCGCTGGGTCCGGCTAGATCCGTTCTAATCCCGCTCAATCCGCGGCCTGATCTGACGCAGCCGCCCCCAACGGGGTTTCATTGTCTTCCACCCTTCCGAACCCGGGTCCCCAAACCCGTGTCCCCGATCCCGGGTCGGGAAGCGCACGTCGCTTGAGGTGTCTGCGGGCGGTGGTTGAAGCCAGAAGTGTTCTGTGGCCTTCACCCTGGCTAGCCAAAGGCGCACATCGAGACGCTGGCTTGCAGATGCGCGCGGGCCAGCACGGGCCCACAAAAGGAAGTGATGGGCCTGTTTTCCACCACCACCACCACCACCACCACCACCACCACCACCACCACCACCACCACCACCACCATAAGTCGGAGGCGGAGGCGGAGGCAGAGGCGGAGGCGGAGGAGGAGGAGGAGGAGGAGGAGGAGGAGGAGGAGGAGGAGGAGGCGGAGGAGGAGGAGGAGGAGGAGGGGGAGGGGGAGGAGGACCCCCTCCCCCTCCAACTTGTGGTGGTGGCGGTGGAAAGCAAGCGCACAAAGAGCAGGGCGCGAGCAGCACAAGCTTCATCACCGTGGGGCGCCCGCGTGCGCGCCCGCTCTCTGGCGGCGAAGTGCCCTCTCGCCGCTCCGCGCTCGTCGTGCCCCTCGGGGCGGCGAGGGCAGGCTTCGGACATCGTCGGGCACGTGGCGAGATCCGAGCCCCATGCGGGACGGGAAAATGACCACAGCTACTGCTTCTTGTTTGCGCCGCCTTCCAGCCGGCCGAAAAAGAAACAGTGGTTGTGGTAATTTCCCTGGTGCCAAGCTCAACGAAAATTACCACAACCACTGCTTTGTTTCTGCTGGCTGGAAGGTGGCAACAAAAGGAAAGCAGTGGCTGTGGTCGTTTTCACGTCCCGTGCCCCACCCCCACCTCATCGATTCGGGAGAATCGACGATCGAGTCGACCAAAAGGCAAGCGACACCACCCCACCTACTTACGGCCCTCCATCTTGCGCTGCTGGCCATCGGGGGCCGTAGAGTACACCACGCGAATGCCAACGCCAGATCTCCAGGCATACGCTAAGGCCCGCGGGGCTGTAGGTGGGGTGGTGTCGTTTGCTTTCTGGTTCAGTTGGGGGTGCGGTTCGGATGTCGCCACCTGCGCTTTTTTTGTTCGGCTGCAGCCCTGGCGTCGCAGTTCATTTCTTTGCAACGTGCGCTTTCGCCCGGCTTCGGGCCCCCGGGACCCTCGCAGATGGATCTGGCTCAAACATTGGCGCAGGCAGATGGGGTTTAGCAGTTCTCGTGGTATTGTTTGTGGTGTCGCAAAACTTGTGCAACGTCAGATCTGCTGGAAGGGTCACCACCTCTTCACGTCGCGGCAAGCGATCACTCGGCCCTTCTCGGCTTCCGGGGGCCGTTCTATTGGTCTCCAGGGCCGTCGAAAACGACTCTTGATGGAAAGCCTGGCACGAGGAAACGGCTAGTCCTCGGGAAGAAGTCGGACGGGGCTAGGACGAGGATAAATCCGTCCCAGAGCATTCCGGAACGCTCTCAGAGCGTTCCGCAACGCTCTGAGAAGGCCGCGGCGCCCGAGACATTCTCCAGAGCCGCCGGATCTCAGAGATTCCCAACTGATTCTCACCCGATGTTATCCTCGTCCTGGCTTCGTCTTAAGAGGTCGAGACCTCCCCTGAGATCCGACGGCGCGGAAAAGTTGCAACACTATGCAAGATATCACCACTGCCAGGAGGGAAAAAACACACAGACACAATGAATCATCGACTCCCATGAAAACCTGGGGAAACATGGGAAGTGGGGGGGAAGACAGAAACCCAGAAAACATTGGAAAATATGGGGAATCCTGGGATTTGTGTGTATTGCTTTGGGTGTCCCAGGGCCCCTTAAGACTGGGGCGCCAGGCCCAACACTTTCTGCTGCCCTCGTGTGTCCAGCCACATCGGGCTATGAGGGCCCTGGCGCCCAGGAGGATGGCGAATTCGATAATTTCGAAAGGAGCGACATCTCCTGTGATGGGCCTGTTTTCCACCACCACTACCATAAGTTGGAGGGGGAGGGGGTCCTCCTCCTCCTCCTCCTCCTCCTCCTCCTCCTCCTCATCATCATCATCATCATCATCCTCCGCCTCCTCCCCCCCCCTCCAACTTATGGTGGTGGTGGTGGAAAACAAGCCCATCATCCTGTGATCGATCTGTGGGTGGGTGAGGGAGGGGGCGAACGCGCTTGTTGTGAGAGGAGGGCTCATGGGACGGAGAGCAGCGAGGGGGCGCCAGGGGTCCAGATGGCTCGCTCGGCATCGCTTGCGCGTGTGCATGTTGTCTTGGCGAGGGGCATCGAGGCGCATCCTGGGCCATCTTGCCACGAACATTTTCGCACGAAGCCGAACAATGCACGTGATGTGATCGTTTCCATTGTTTTGCCGATCGGCGCGAGCTCTCGCACTCCCCCCCTCTCCTGGAGTAGATTCTGGCTGTTTTCTGCCGCCTGTTTCCGGCAGGTGGGGTCTCCCCCATAGGAAGCAGTGCTGCAGACAGTGGCATTCAGCAGAGGTTCAGAGCCAGTCCCCCCCCCTCCCCCCCCCCCTTCCGCTTCATGTTGAAACACCGAATAAGAAAACGTTCACGATGGGCGTCTGAACGACGGCAAGCATGGTAGGGGGGCTGAGCCGGGCGTGGCCGCGTCTTCCTTCCGCCTCTCCGACCAGAGCCCGGGAGCCGTGCATGTCAGCCGGGCGCCGCTTCTGCTAAGAGGCGCGGGCCGCTGGACAGCCGAAAGCCTCCTCCTCATCCTCCTCCTACTCTTCATCCCGCTCCTCCTCCTCATCATCATCATCCTCCCGCTCCCCGCTCCTCGTCGTCGTCCTCCTCCTCCTTCTCCTCCTCCTCCTCCTCGTCCTCCTCCTCCTCCTCCTCGTCCTCCTCCTCCTGCTCCTCCTCCTCCTCCTCCTTGTCCCTCTCCTCCTCCCTCGCCCCCCGCCGGGGAGCAGGAGGAGGCGGAGGAGGAGGAGGCGGAGGAGGAAGAGGAAGAGGAAGATGAGGAGGAGGAGGAGGAGGAGGAGGAGGAGGAGGAGGAGGACGAGGGGAGGCAGGAGGTGGTAAGTTTTGCTCCCGCTCCGGGTCCTGACCACCGCAGGCCCCTGGACGTCCCCGGAGGCCCGAAAAGAGGACAATCGTCCAATAACCATCCGAAAACGTCCGAGATCCTTCCTCGATCCTTGAGGAGGGCCGAGGGTAAAACTTACGAGGAGGAGGAGGAGGAGGAGGAGGAGGAGGAGGAGGAGGAGGAGGAGGAGGAGGAGGAGGGGAGGCAGGAGGTGGTAAGTTTTGCTCCCGCTCCGGGTCCTGACCACCGCAGGCCCCTGGACGTCCCCAGAGGCCCGAAAAGAGGACAATCGTCCAATAACCATCCGAAAACGTCCGAGATCCTTCCTCGATCCTTGAGGAGGGCCGAGGGTAAAACTTACGAGGAGGAGGAGGAGAAGGAGGAGGAGAAGGAGGAGGAGGATGACCAGTGTGAACCCAAGAGTCATCAACGATGTTGGAGTAAACCCTCCCTCCGAGCACCCTCTTGATAGGCCCCTACAACGGTTCATTTCCATTGATTGAACTGCCTCGTTGGAAGACACTCGTTTGAAGACCCTGAATCATGCCCAAGCATTGTTCTCCGGATTCCAACGCCACGGATCAACCTGACTGTTGCGTCTTGACGATCCTGAGTCGCGCCAGAACGCCATTCCTAGGCCGTTCCACAGAGAATCAACGTCACTGTTGCACCCGCATAATCCTGAATCCTTCAAAACACAAGTACTGGCACGTTGATAGGAATCCGTGAATCTCTTGCAACTGTTTGAAACGAATGTGCGCGGCGCTAAGGCGAGAGCCACATTCTGAAAAGGAGCCGCCCTCAACCTGTGAAGTTTTTGCAGTTATTTTCGTTTTTTAAAAATGTGCGCCGCGCGACGGCGAGAGCCACATTCTGAAAAGGAACCGCCCTCAATCTGTGAAACCTTCGCAATGTTTTTTAACGACTGTGCGCCGCGCTAAGGCGAGAGCCACATTTTGAAAAACCACCCGCCCTCAATCCGTGACACTCTTGTATTTGTTTAACGAATGTGCGCCGCGCTAAGGCAAGCCCCACGTTTTGAAAACCACCCGCCCTCAATCCGTGAAGCTCTTGCAATGTGTTACACGACTGCGCGCCGCGCTAAGGCGAGAGCTACATTTGAAAGCCTCAATCCGTGAAGCGGTTACCACTTTTTAAGCTTCAGAGTCATAAATGGTAAGGAAGTATCCGACTGTGGTGGCCTCACACAAGAAGTCCCCTTGTGGTGGGCACGATACGGACCGCCAACACAAGCAACAACACCAATCAACAAACGCCAAGGACCACCCAACAACGTCCCCCTCGTATGTATATATAACGAAACAGCGATATCTAAGTTTTGCTTGGCTTTGTTTTTGTCCAATACAGAAGGATTTCTATTGTGACGCTGTGCAGGAGGGTTCCTGGTGTGGCAGCCTTGCAACAGCATTCTTTTTGTGGCTGGTTGCAAGAGGAATCTTGCTTTGGCGGGTTTCAACCAGATTCCTTGCTTGGCGGCTTCGCAGAAGAGTTCCCGTTCCCTCTGCGGTGGTCTTGCCAAACGGCTTCCCCTTGTGGCGGCCAGGGCAAGGACACCCAACAAACGCAACACAAACCAACAAAACCGAATGACTAACCGACAACGCCTCCCTGCCCCCCTCAAAAAACAATTAAACATATTGAGTTTTCCATGCCAAACAACAAGATTCTTCGTGTGAAGACTTACACAACGAGTTCTTGTGTGGCACCCTTACAAAAGGATTGCCCCTGTGGCGAAATACGCATTGTTTTTATTGTGCGGCGGCCTTAAGCCAGAATTCCTGTTGGGGCGGCCTCGCAAAAGAAGTTCCTTTGTGGCGGGCGGCGCAGGGCCACCCAACAAAAACACGAACACCACCACCACCGGAGAAACAGCCACCGCAACCTCCCTGACCACGAAAAGAAGAACTACACCGAAGTTGTTGCAGCATTCGCTGCGCTACAGAACGATTTCCTTTGCAACCCGCCACGAAAGGGATGCTTGTGTAATCCGCCACAAAAGACATGCTTGTTTAAGGCTGTCGCAAGAGGGGTCCTTATGTACCCCACCACCTTGGTTGCCGGTGTTGGTTTTCGGTGTCCTTCCCGCCACAACCGGAATCCTCCGGTCAGGTCGCCACACAAATAGTTCTTCTGTAAGGCCTCCACAAAAATGATCCTTGTGAAATCCACCACGAGAGGCACCTTGGTGTGCGACCTGCCACAGAACGAACCGAACGTCACATAGTCGCAGCAACGGCTCATAGCACGAACGCCGCCGTTCGGATAAGAGAACAGAGGGCCAGGTAGATCCACAAGAGGGGGTCCACACACGTATAGATATATTTATACATGTGCACACATATATACATATACATATACCTGTATGTATATACATTTATAACACAAAATATGTTGCACCTACGTGTACAACGATATGTATCTAGAGATGTGCATACACACACGTATACATGGGTGTATGTATACATACATATATATATATGTATACCTATATATATATACACCTATTCCTATATTGTTGTATGCCCGGGCGGGGAGAACCCGTCACCACCCTTAAAGAATAACCGGACTCTTGGGATCTGGGGCTTTGGGACCCTCTGGACGGGCCTCGAAGCGGCCACCGGGCCTCGCAGGGCGTTTTGCCAAGCCTTCCCAGCACACCTAGGGCGATCAGGGGGGTCATCGGAGACGTCCCAGAGACCCCCAAGACAGCACAAGAGCGCTCCAAGAGTCACCAACGTGACCTCAAGATGGCCCAAGACGCCTCCAGGACGGCCCCAAAGAGGCCTCCAAGAACACTCCCAAGAAGGTCCCCCGAGGCAACAATCATTGATTTTCTGTTGGTTTTTAGTGAATTTTGGGGTTCTCCTCTTTTCGGCTTCCCGACGCTCCAGGACGGCGGTCTTCTGTGCGTCCGAAGCCGCCTGGGAGGCTGCAAAATCGCTCCACAACCATCCGAAAGGGCTTCCAGGCAGTCCAAGAGAGCCCCAAAGCGCACAACACGGGTCCAAGATGGCCCTCAGAGAGCCCCATGGCGGCCCAAGATGGCCCAAAGACACCCTCCGAAGAATTCCAAATCGTGATTCGGTCGTTCAGGGAGACCGCGGTTGGAGGCAGGGTGGCCCGAGGAAGACCCCAGAGGCCCCCAGAATACGCCCAGGAGGCTTCCAGAAGGCCTTAAGAAACCCTGAAACAACTTTTGTGAGGCCCCTAGACGCTCTCCAAGGAGGAGCCTCCGCAAAAAAGAGCTGAGCAGGATGGGGAGAATGCGCAGGGTATGGCGAAAATGAGGAAAAAGAAACATGGAGGAAGGATAACGAGTAACATTATTATATTGGCGATGCGGGAAAAGGCAACCAGGAGTTATCGCAAAATTGTCGGTTTGACCTTCCTGCTATTCTGCCTGCGTGCCAAATTTCAAGGACCAAGGTGCGTGGCGCGAAGCGCCACTGCAGTCTTGTATATACAGTGTGTGTGTATATATATATATATATATATATATATACACACACGCATGCCTTCCTTTGACCCCAGAAGAGAAGATGTGCGGTTTCCGATGTTGTACGTGTGGTTTGCCGCTTCCCGTCGTGCTGCCTGCGTCGTTGACGTTGGTTTGTCTGCCTCGTCCTCCACGTCTGCTGCGGGGCGTCTCGGTGGCCTCTTGGAGGCCTCGCGGGTGGCCTCCTGGGGCTTCGCGGGGGCTTGTCCTCAAAAGGACCCCGGAAGAGGGCTTCCACTGCTCGACATGATTGATGTTCTATTGGTGTTTGAAATATTCGTGTGTGCCCGCCTTTTCCAGCTTCCGAACGCCTACGACGGCCCACGAGGCCCGAAATATTGACCCAACAGGGTCCCCCGACGGCTCACGAAGCCTCCAGGAGGGCCTGGGACCGGTTGCTCATGCCGCGAGCTGTTGCCTGACGCTTCCTGGACCTTCTGGAGGCCCCCTGAGGGCCGAAGATGGCCCAACTCGGCCGTGCGCAGAGGGGGTAGAGGGAGGGGAGAGGCTTCTTAGAGGGAAGATGCTTCTTAGAAGGCGCGGGCCTCTTCTATAGATGTACGGCCGGCGCCTTCTGAGAAGCAGCCTCTTTGCAAGAAGCCTTCCCCCCTTGCGCACCGCCAACTAATGCTTCCCGTCGTGGCCTTTTGGCGGCGCGAAGTGGTCGGGGGCTCCCGATCCTCCGACGTCGCATAGTTTGCTTGTGGCAGTGGCCCCCGGGGAACCCGACCCCACTTCCCCGGGGCCGGCTGGCTTCTCATCCTGAGTACGGTGGGGGCGTTTACTAACACATAAGATGACATCGGGGAGGGCACGGTTGGGCACGTCTGGTCTCGGGAGGAGCTTCGGGGAACAGATCATGACTGTGGGGAGGAGCACCTGGGCCGCTGTCACGCTCCGCGCGCCAGGGAGTGGTCCAGCGACGATGAAAAAGAGTCCGCGCGGACCTCTGACAGTTCATGTTCGTGTCATTACGGTGGGGGCGTTCGGGAATGTGCTCAGGAGGCTGCAGGCCCTGGAGGATTCCGTATTTGAGGGGGGCGGCGGCAATATCCGTGGCCGATCCGCGATGGGAGTCCCGCCGGTCTCCAGACCGTGGATTCTTTGTCTGAGGGTTCCATGTCCAATGCCCCCGGTAATTTTCCGACGGTCCCAGGGCCAGGAAGCAGCTCCCAGGAGGCCGCCATTTCGGAGGGACGCCAACACCACCAGCCCTGGCCAGGCACTTTCCGGGCCCTGGATCGGCGTACAGACCCCTTGGCCCAAGCCAGGAAGGCCTGTGCACCAGCCCAGGGCCCACGATGGACCTGGCCAAGGCTGGTGATGGTGTATTTTGTTGGAGCTCCCCTGGCGAATGCTGAACAGCCAGCGCGACGCCCAGGTCTGAGGGTCACGGCAAGCCTGCGACTATACCGACAATCTATTTGGAGGAGGAGGAGGAGGAGGAGCACGGGGAGGAGGGGGAGGGGGAGGGGGACAAGCTAGGTGCGCTCGCGTCATATCTGACATCCTACCCCTCCCTCCCATCCCTTACCATGGCGTAGATCCCCTCTCTACTCGCACAGTCGGATGTCGAGCAGGGCAATGATCCCGAAAGGGTACGCGATGCATTGTAGAGCACGGCATGGCATGGCGTAGAAGAGCACCGCAAAGCGTAGTATCAACGTAGCATTGCATTGCATGCCGTGGCATGGCACGGGAAATGACGCCAGCGCTGCAGCGGGAGCACGAGTCGAAACGAGCGGAAGCGCGGAAATGAGGCCAGCGCTGCAGCGGGAGCACGATTCGGAACGAGCGGAAGCACGGAAATGAGGCCAGCGCTGCAGCGGGAGCACGATTCGGAACGAGCGGGGCCCGAAAATGAGGCCGGCGCCTCAGCGAGAGCAGCATTTTGAAAAAAAATGCAGGCGAAAACCCAACTCCGGGGAAACCTGTGTGTAAAAAAACAGTACGCGGGGGGGGGGTCGAGCACTTTCAAACCGTCATCAGGGGAAGAGGGAGAGTAGTTTTCATATTGAGTAATTGTGGGGGAGGAGGTGGAGGAGGAGGAGGAGGAGGAGGAGGAGGAGGGAGGAGGAGGAAAGGAGGAGGAGGGAGGAGGAGGAGGGGGAGGAGGAGGAGGAGAAGGAGGAAAGGGAGGAGGAGGAGGAGGAGGAGGAGGCGAATAAGGAGGAGGAGGAGGAGGAGGAGGAGTGACCTCCGCGCGGCCCGAGGCCCAGTTGCGAGCCCGCCCGCCGGCCCCGATGCAGCAGCTGCCCGCCAAGGACCAGGCGGTCTTCCGCTCGATCGTCAAGTTCTACGAGACCAAGCAGTACAAGAAGGGCGTCAAGGCCGCCGACTCGATCCTGAAGAAGCACCCCGACCATGGAGACCAGAGCTCGTCGTCGGGGGCCCGCTTCGGCGCCCGGGGGCCCGCTGCGGCCCCCCCCCCAGGTGGTCACTGTCGTCGGTGTCCATCCGTGGTGAGCGGAAGCTTGCCATGTGGACCCTGGGAGGGGTCCAGGTTTCAGGGATGGACTTCGAGCGGGTTCTGAGGTGTGCGCGAGCCCGCAGATACCGATAACAGTCCCCCGTGTTCGCCGTTTTGGACCTCCTGGGGGGGGAGGGAGACTTTGTTGCCGCGGATGGATCCATCTCGGAGTCCTGGTCGCGACGCGTCCCAGGAGAGGTCCCAGGAGATGCGGTATGGGTATCTCTTGTTGGTGTCCCCAGGAGAGACTCTTTGCATGAAGGGCCTGACCCTCAGCTACTTGGATCGCAAGGAGGAGGCCTACGAGCTTGTGAGGAAGGGCCTCAAGTTCGACCTGAAGAGCCACATCTGCTGGCACGTGTTCGGACTGCTGTACCGGCAGGACAGGGACTACTTTGAGGCTGTGAGGTGTTATAAGCAGGCGCTGCGCATCGACCCAGAGAACATTCAGATCTTGAGGGACCTGTCCCTGCTGCAGATCCACCGTCGGGATCTGCCAGGGTTCGCTGAAACGCGGAGGAAGCTTCTGCAGGTGAAGCCTGGCAATCGCTTGAATTGGGTCGGCTACGCCATCGCCGAGCATCTTTGCAAGAGTTATGAGTTTGCGTGGACGTGCATTGACAATTACGAGAAGACGTTCAAAGACGACAGCGTGGCAGATTACGAGAATTCGGAGTTGTACATGTACAAGGCAACCATAATGGAGGAGGCCGGCAAGCTGGAGGAGGCGCTGGACATGTTGAAGAAGTGCGAGTCCAGCATCGTGGACAAGCTAGGGCTTCTGGAGATGAAGGCTGTCGGGAAGGGGAGCGTATCCTCCACCACCTGGCCTCCGTGTGCTAAAAGTGGCCCATATCTTTTTGGATGTCGCTCCTCCCGCAAAGGTATGTGGACGTCCCCCTCTTTGCTACGTGGAGTGGGATACTCTAGCAGGGTCCAGGCAGTCCTGAGCGCGTGCACCAGGCCCAACGGCCCAACCAGCTCTAACAACAATCTGCCACGTGGTACTGGGCATCCTTTGTAAAGAAGTAAAGGCTTGTGGACTCTGGTCTCCGGCCTTGCCAAGGTCCCAGCCCTTAACGGGCTCTTGTGAAGGCCTTGTACCGTTTTCCATCGCCTTTTTCGGGCTCCTTGCTTTCTTCGCCCCCCACCTCCCCGTTCTAGAACAGGACCGAGAAGAGCCCGTCTCTTTTTCTTGCCCTGACCCTCGCCGTTGTCGCCCCCCTGATCCTCACAGTCGTCCTCTTCGCCCTCGCTCTCGTCCTCCCCGTCGCCCCCACGCCCTTCCAGGAGGGGCAACGGGGCCCCGAGCTGAGCTTCAGCCGCACTCCTGGGCAGGGTGCGAGGAAGCGTGGAGCGGAGGCGGGACACGACGGCGGCCCCGCTTGAGCGCCGCAGTGGGGCTCAGAGTGGAGCGCCGCACTGGATCAGACTCGGCCGATATCGAGTGACCTGCGCTATCGGAGAGCCGCGATCGTTGAAGGCTGAAGGATTCGCGCGGTGTCAGAAACTAAGGCGCCAGCCGTCACGACACGAACTTGCCGCACAATTGGCACGTCAAATATGAGACCGGCCTGCCAGCAGATGCCCCACGGAAACATCTCATCCTACGATGGCCCCAGGGACCCACAGAAGCTCGGGGGCACCCCAGTTCCTTCAAAGATCGACGAATCATGTGCCCCAAGATTTCTGACATCAGGAGTTCTTATCAGATGTGTCTGCTGTACCTTCTGTTCTCTCCGTCCTCCCGGTTCCCCCCCCTGAGGGGGTCAGGAGCCGGCATTTGAGCCCACGTGGCTGTTCGTGGACCTCGTAGTAAGACTACGCCCGTCAGGGTGCGCAGCGCGCTCGTGCAGACGGGGTCAAGCAGCTAGCCTTGCCAATCCGAGCGGGCATTCTGCAGAATTGGACGACAGAAAAGATCAGTCGGTGTGGGCACCCTGCCTTACCAGAGGGGGTGACGATGACTCGTTTGGACCAGGCGGGGCAAAGCAGGCAACCCGCTCTCCAGAAGACGGCTCAGGAGCAATCGTCATAATCCGAGCAGGCCTGCGCAGCCTCTTCGATAGGCACATTGCCGTAGAAGGTCGATCTCCCGCATTCGCTTGCCAGCCGGATCCCATGTGTGCGGTCCCACCGTTGGAAAGTCTCACGATTCGGTATCCCAAGGCGCGCCTCTGCATGTTCCTGAGGAGATATCAGGAAGCCTCTGACATCTACCGGGAGCTGATCGGCATGAACCCCGAGCATCACCATTACATCCAGGGCCCAGGATTCTGTCCACCCTGCCGTCCGACACTCCCCCGCCCCTCCTTCCACCCAGGAAAGGGGGGAAGGATACAAGGATGGCGCGTAAGAAGAATGGCAGGGCGAGAAGGATGAGGCGATGAGAACAGAAGACACTGGGAGGAGAGGTAGAGTTAGAGGGGGAGGATGAAGCGGGAGGAGTGGGGAGAGGAGAGGCAATAGCATGGCCGATGCCTAGTTAGGTGTTTTCCCGTGGAGACATGGCGAGCACAGGGTCTTTTTGAGGTGAATCGGGTTGGTTGGTGATTTTGTTTACATCCTGTTGATGTAAAACCGTTCGACATCGCAGATCTCGTAAGACGTGTGGCTCCAGAGGTCTCGGGGTTCAATCTCCGCCACCAGCATATACATCTATACAGACGCCCCCCAGTGGACTGTTCTCAGGCCTCTTCGGGAGGGTGGCGTTGTATCAATCACAATTTCGAGCCATCTATTTCATCCACCGGATCCACGCCATGTGTTTTTCTTTTCCGTGGACCCCTGGGGGCCTGGAACGGGCCTCTGCGGGGGACACGTAGGACCCGAGCTCGCCAGAACCCGGGCTTGTCGCATCTTGCCAGCCTGGAACGTATCCCGCGGGGCGTCTGCGCCTGGTCTCGGGCCCCCCGGGACCATCAGAGGTCGACCAGGCTCAAAGATTGGGGCAGGAAGATGGGGCCCAGGGCTTCGGTCTGAATTTCTGGCAACGTCGGATCTCAGGTCGGCGGCAAGCAGGGGGTGGAAGTGAGAAGGGGAAGGCCCTCTCAGAAGGCGGCGGAGGGCCTTCTGAGGGGTTTTCTGTGTCTTCGGCGAAGGCGGAGACGGCTTCTCAGAAGGCCAGAGGACTTCCGAGCCTTCTGGGAAGGCCCGCCCCCTTTCACTCTCCCCCAGTTTCTGAGGGCGCATCCCTAAGACTGTCATTGCCTGTTGGCTCGCCGACCTTAGGGGTAGGGAAAAGTTCGAGGCGGGTTAGCATCTGTCTCACGGGCCCATCCTGAACTTTGACGGTCCAGTTTTCGTGGGATGCCGCAGCGGGAGCATGCGTCGAATTTCAGTCTGCGTTCCGTCATTCTTCGGTCGGCTCCGCCAGGCCTACCCAAGTTCCCCGAACCGCGCTTTGCGTGTTCCCGACTCTGGACGCCCAGGCTGGCAAATGCCGATTGCCCCGATGTTTGATGGACTCCCCGGAGGTCCGGGAGATTGCTGTTTTTTCTTTTGGCGCGTAACGTTTGTTACCCGGGCCAAACCTCCCCTCCCCGGGTAACGGTAACGATCGTTCCTAGGAGGGGCGGCCTGGACCCCCCCCCCGACATGCTGTTGCTCGCGTCGGGGCGATCGCAGCGCAGTCTCGCCCCGACGTGCCCCCATCTCGCCCAAGCGTTACCGTTTCCTGGGGCCCAAACCGCCCCCCGTCCTAGGGAAACGGCTGTTGTTGGAAATGCTAAAACAAACCTCCGGGCTCTGCGCCCTGGCGCCCCTCCCTGGGGAGGCTTCCGACGAGGGGCGTTGCCATTGGACAGCAGTGTGGGGCCCGACCCATTCTCGGAAAAGAGGGGGAGATCCAACGATTGCCCTGGAGGTTTCCAGAGGACCAGCTTCGTTTCACCTACAGTCAAACCGCATAGTAAGGATGAGCGACTTCCCAAGGTTACCCTTGCATCCTTCCCGTCCAGCCAATCCATGGCCGCTTTCTGTGGCCGCGCCTCGCTCGCAGAGTGTCGGCATGGCCTTCCAAGGCCCTGGGCCCTGCGCCCCTTCCGCGCATCCTTGTTCCGCGGGCTGACTGTATCCCCACCCCAAGCCCGCTCGACGCGGAACTCTTCCCCGTTTGTTCGCTTTCCCCTCCCCCCCTCCGCGTGGCCGCCCTCGTCTTTCCCCCCCTCCTCCCCCTCTTGCACGCCGGCCAATTTGCCTTGCGGTTGCCCCGAATAGCCGCACGCTGGTGCGGACTGCGACTGCCACTGGGAGGAGAACGAGGAGGAGGAGGAGGAGGAGGAGGAGGAGGAGGAGGAGGAGGAGGACGTGGAGGTGGAGGTGGAGGTGGAGGTGGAGGTGGAGGTGGAGAAGATGAGGAGGAGGAGGAGGAGAGGAGAAGGAGGAGGAGGAGGGAGGAGGAGGAGGAGGAGGGAGAGGAGGGAGAGGGAGGAGGAGGAGGAGGCGAATAAGGAGGAGGAAGGAGGAGAGGAGGAGGAGGAGGAGGAGGAGGAGAGGAGGAGGAGGAGGAGGAGGGGGGAGGAGGAGGAGGAGGAGGAGAGGAGAGGAGGAGGAGGAGGAGGAGGATTAACGGAACAAAAAGACCCCCACCACCCAGTGGGTCAGGGTTTTCGTTGGCGCTGCAGCCTGCATCCTCGAGGTGGGTGCGGCTGCCGCGAGGCCCGGCGGAGAGGGCATATAAGGTCCAGAGTTTGGGCCCCTCCCCCCCCCAATGCTGATGCCATTGGGCCCCCCCCCCCCGCGATGGTCCCCCCCCGCCCCCCCATGTGGGCGTGGCGTGGTGCTGCGCTGCGGTGCCCCCCCCCATGTGGATGTGGTGTGGTGTTGTGGTGGTTCAGAAGTGGGCGTGGCGTGGTGCTGCGCTGCGGTGCCCCCCTCCCCTCCCCTGTAGATGTGGTGTGGTGCTGTGGTGGTTCAGAGGTCGTCGTCGTCGTCGTCGTCGTCGTCGTCGTCGTCGTCGTCCTCCTCGTCCTCGTCGTCCTCGTCGTCCTCGTCGTCGTCGACGTCGTCGTCGTCATCGTCGTCGTCGTCGTCATCGTCGTCGTCGCCGTCGTCATCGTCGTCATCGTCGTCGTCGCCGCCGCCGCCGCCGGCGTCGTCGCCGCCGCAGCCGTCGTCGTCGTCGTCGTGGCCGTCGTCGTCGTCGCCGTCGTCGTAGTCGTCGCCATCGTCGTCGTCGCCGCCGCCGCCGCCGCCGTCGTCGTCGTCGTCGTCGTCGTCGTCGTCGTCGTCGTCGTCGTCGTCGTCGTCGTCGTCGTCGTCGTCGTCGTCGTCGTCGTCGTCGTCTCTGGGACCATACCATCTGGGGGGGGGGCCCGAGGAATCCTGGGACCATACCATCTGGGGGGGGGGGCCGTGAACCCTCGACCCTGGATCATATATCTCTGCATCTCTGCCCCATTGGGGTGGGGTGGGGTGGGGTGGGTATGGGTCGGGCAGCGGGGCCAAGTTTCTCCAGGGCGGCTGGGGGCAGATCCAGCAATCCTTAATAGTAGGAGGGGAGGAGGAGGAGGAGGGAGGAGGAGGAGGAGGAGGAGGAGGGAGGAGGAGGGGAGGAGGAGGAGGAGGAGATGGGAGAGAGCATGGATGGAGAGGGAGAGGAGGAGGAGGAGGAGGAGGAGGAGGAGGAGGAGGGGGAGGAGGATGGGTATGCCTAGCGTCGCTGATCGGAGGAGGAGGAGAGAGGAGGAAGAGGAGAGGAGGAGGAGGAGGAGGAGGAGAGGAGGAGGAGAGGAGGAGGAAGAGGAAAGGGGGAGGAGGAAGAGGAGGAGGAGGAGAAGGAGGAGGAGGAGGAGGAGGAGGAGGAGGAGGAGGAGAGGAGGAGGAGGAGGAGGCGAGGAGGGAGATTGTGAGGAAGAAGAACAGCAGGGGAGGAGGAGGGGGAGGAGGAGGATGACGGATAGGTGTAACGATGCTGACAGGAGGAGGAGGAGGAGGAGGAGGAGGAGGAGGAGGAGGAGGAGGAGAAGGAGGAGGAGGAGGAGGAGGAGGAGGATTGGGTTGGGCATTCCAACGAGCAGAAGTAGCACAAACAAGCATGGAGAGACAGGATGATACCCGAACCTCAGTAGGGAGAGGCGAAATCGAAGTTTCCCTCGCCAACGCGTACTAGCTCACGCCGCCACACGTCCAAGGCAACAGCCTGCTCTATGACTTTCGCAGGCCCGAGCTTTTAAGAGGAGTGTTTGAGCGAGCGCGCTGGATTCTATGCAGCTCGAGCCCCAGGCAGTAGGACTTAAACCCGCCAGGTAGGCAAGGGACCTCCAGCCCTACCACACGATCTTCAGTCCCGGAACGATATCCTCCCCACAGATGGTGACAAATCTGGATTCGGCAGCGGTGCAATCAGACACGTTCAGCGTGTGACACTTCGGGCCCCGCAGCAGCTCGCGCACCCTACGTGTGGGTCACAGCGCCTTCCCGTGGCGCTTCCCGAAACAGCCCACGCACCTCCATCGGCCCATCGGGAGGCGAGGATGAGGAGGGGGGTGGGGCTGTTTGGAATTGTTTGGCTAGCCCAGAGATCCATTCGTGAAATGTGCCCGAGGCGAAGCGCAACGACCCCGTACTCGGAACCGAAGCCGCGAATAGGGCATGGCCCGCGAAAGCCCCCCTTAGTGAGCCTCCCTCCTGACGGCTGGGGGATACTACTCGGACTGAAGAGCCTGCTACACCGAACGACGGGAGGCCACCCCGAGCTGGGCACCGAAGCCTCAATCTCGACATGCCACCCAGCCGATACAGGTTCACAACGTCCCCCCAGTCCTCTCCCGTCACAGCAGAGCCCACGCCGCACGACCTCGAATGGACAAAAGAGGAGTAGAAGAAGGAGGGGGAGGAGTGGGAAGCGGAGGGCGGCACGCCTACTCACCTCTCGGTCGGCCTCCTTTTCATCTGCCCCATGTTCTTGTCCACAACGCCACGCTAAGCCACATGATCGAACTGGACCAGCACGACGATGGCGAACTCCACGCAGCCGTCCGTCTCGGCCAGCCATTGGCCAGCCCTCGGTTCCTGCACCACGCATTGCCCAGTTCGAGCCTGGACCTGGCGATGCACTCGCTGCCCTTCAACCCCGCGGCGCCGCCCGCGGCGACGCCCGCGATGCACCCGTCGGCCACGACGCCACCTCATGCTCAGCACCAGAGGCCCTCGCCGAAAGGCCGCAGCGCCGCGCCAGGCCGCCGCGGCCGCTCCGGCGTCCGCGCCAGCCCCGCGCAGCCACCTGGCTCCGACGCCTCGAGACGGGAGGGCCCGAAGTGGCGAACTGAGCCGGAAGAGCTGTGGAAGAGGAGGGGGATGGGGAGGGGACCAAGGCCTTGGGGCGGTAGCTAAGGGGCCAACCGAGCGAGAGCGGGGTGCCGAGACATTTCCCTCGCGCTAATGCGCGAACAGTCGGGACCACTAAACGTCACTACATCATCATCATCATCATCATCATCATCATCATCATCATCATCATCATCATCATCATCATCATCATCATCATCATCATCATCATCATCATCATCATCATCATCATTATCATTATCATTATCATTATCATTATCATTATCATTATCGTTATCATTATCATTATCATCATCATCATCATCATCCTCAGCATCAGCATCAGCATCAGCATCAGCATCATCAGCATCATCACTCTGGGTGGCGGGGCTTTTCTCGCACTCATTCGCGGCATTCTAATTTTCTGTCTGCAAATCCTTGGGATGATAAGGAGGAGAAGGAGTATGTCTGACAGTGCTGAGAGGATGAGGGAAAGAAGGCGGACCAATGTAGACCCAAGACGCATCAAAGATGGTACAATAAACCATCCCTCTAAGCTTCCCCTTCGTAGGTCCCTCGCAAGAATGTTTGTTCGGTATGGGAAGTGCCCCATTTGAAGACAACCGCTTGAGAATTCTCAATCGTGCCAAGGCGCCATTCCTGGGACTTCAGCGCCGCGAATCAATGTGTGACTGTTCCGCCCTGACAGGTCGAAATCGTGCCAGAATGCCATTCCTGGGACTTTAACGCAGCGAATCAACGTGACTTTCTTGCGTTCTGGCAATCCTCAACCGTGTCAGAAACCATGCCTGGGACTTCAACTATACGAATCCATGGAACTGCTGCGATTTTGTTCAAACCAATACGCGTGGCGCTAAGGCGAGAGCAATATTTTGATCAGGAACCGCCGTCCATCCTGAAAACTGCTGCACATTGTAACATGGCTGCGCGCGGTGCTTCGGCGAGAGCCACATTTTGAAAAGGACCCGTCGCCGATTTTCGAAACTATGGCGAACTTGTGTCACGAATGTTCGCGGCGCAAATGCCAGAACCATATTTTGAAAACGGCTCCCACTTCACGTGTGGTGAGGAAGTTTCGGGCGGAGCGCCGGCCGGGAGGAGCTGTTTATAGGGAGGAGGAGCGGAGGAGGATCGATAAGATGTAAGAGTGACCTTTCGTTGGAGTGACCTTCAGTGCGGGCCCAACGGGGCACCTCGATCGCAGAATGCGAGGCGATAGCCGCGGATTGCGCGCCTGGTGGTGTCCCCAAAGGGTCCCCCTGCCCGCGCACCAAAGGTCACTCTTACCAAGGGTCGCTCTTGCGTGTAGCCGAGAGGAGTGGAAAGAGGAGGGGGCATGACGAGGAGGAGACGGGATGTGGGAGAGTGGGATGTGGGGAAGGAGCAGGCGGAGGGGGAAGAGGGGGAGAAAAAGGAAATGGCGGAGAGGGCAGGACCAGGAGGAGACGGAGGTGGGACGGTGGGATGTGGGGAAGGAGCAGGCGGAGGGGGAAGAGGAGGAGACAAAGGGAAGCGGAGGAGAAAGATGGCCAGTGGAAGCCAAAGGTGCATGCGCGATGTTGCAATTCACTCTCCCGTCCCAGGTCCCCTCCTCATTCGCCCCCTACAGGTGCTCCTTTTTTACTGCAAGAGGCGTCCCCCTTTGAAAGACCAGTGCAATTGGGCTTGCCGTGTTGGCAAGACTCCCACTTTGAAAAGGAGTTGCCTTGCACCGTCGGGGCGCGTGCCCAGGAATGCGAAAAGGAGTGATCATACGAGGTCCCCCCGTCGAAGATGGACCGCCCCTGATCCGTCTAACCGTCGTACATGTCTACACATGTGGGGATGAGCTTCGAGGAAGTCTGAAGCGATAGCTCCATTTCGGGAAGGGGCCGCCATGGAATCGTGCAGCGCTACGCGTGGTGAGGCCTCGGGGTCGGTGAACTAAGCGTTGCCCCACACGAAGAACCAGCCTATCAAAAACGAACAGGCCTCTATCCTGCTGAACGTTGCGCTTAGAAATACCTTTGCGCAGCGCTAGGTCGAGAGCCATATTATGAATACAGCCAGTGCTCAATAGTTCAAAACTGCTGCAGGATTTCAAAATGACTGTTCGCGGCGCTCACGCGAAATTCCTGCTTTAAAATTAGCCGCCCTCCATCTTTGAAGCTAGTACACGCTTTTGAAGCGAATGTGCGTGGCGCCATTGCGAGCGCATTAATTTGAACACGACCTCCATTTCATCCCTGAGAATGTCGCAGGCTTTGGAGATCACTGTGCTCGGCGCGAATGCGAGAGACACATTCTGAAAACAATCCGTCCTATCCTCGAAGCTGTTATTATCTTTTAGGGCAATCGTGCGTGGCGCCAAAGCGAGAGCCACATTTTGGCAAGGAGCCGCCCTCCATCCGCGAAGCTGCTGCCATTGCCTAATACGACTATGCGCGGCGCCAAGGCGAGAACCAGATTTTGAAAAAGGCCCCGCCCTCCATCCGCTAAACCGTCGCATAATTTCTAGTTTCATGGTCATGTGTAGTGGGGAAGCCTGAGGCGAAACGCCTGGCCCACCCTACCGACACGTCTGTGAGCGCGACGGGGAGGAGTTACCCAGAAGGTGAAGGGATGGGGGCGGAGAAGGAGGAGGACGAGGAGGAGGAGGTGGAGGAGCAACCGCAGCAGCATGAGCAGGATAAGCAGGAGGAGGCAGGAGCAGACGGGGAAGGAGGAGTAGGAGGAGTAGGAGCAGGCGGCGGGGGAGCAGCAAGAGGACCCGGCGGACGGCAACGGGGGGGACACATACAGCTGGTGCAGAAAGGCACTCCTCTCCACCACGTTCTGAAAGCGGCGTGGCAGTTCAGGAGCCCCGCACGTCCCCTGGAGGGCCACTTTCCTGCCACCCTCCATCGCCTCCCCCGCATGCTACCCCTCTCGTGGCCGTCCACCCGAAAGGCGAGGGGGGAAGCTGCAGCAGCAGGAGCGGTGGACGACGCTCCGCCCCCTGGGCGATGAGGATGAGCCTCCTCCCCCCCTCTCTGGCGGGCCTGGTGGCCGGACTCCTGGTGCCCCGCGCGTCCTCGGGCACCTGGCCAACCAGACGCAGTTCCACCGCTTCTGGCCCGCCCTCCCGGCGCCCGCGCCGGTGGACCGGCCACACGAAAAGGGCGACCCTCATCTCGGGTGCTGCTAGAAGTGCCCCTGGGCCACGGTGCCCACAGGATTCTCGGGGTGGCCCAAACCGCCTCCAGAGCACCCCTCGCGAGGCCCCGAGGGCCCCAGGGGCTCCAACATGGAGCGACAAGCATTGAGCCAGGGGTACTTCTGGCAACACCCGACCCTCGGAGGCGACGATCGGGGCGAGCAGCCCAGGGGGGAGCAGATTAGGCCTTGCCCTCGAGGGTCGAAGGCGCTGCCATCTCGTCCGCGGCGGAAGGTCGGCGGGAGGGCGGCGGAAGTGGAGCGAGGGCGGGTTCGCGGGCGGGTGGCCGGCGCGGAGGCCGGCGCAGGCAGAAGTCGACCTCCCAAGAGATGGCAGCGGTTTGGGGTTCAGGGTTTCCGGAAGCGGCCACGCATCCCGGGGGCGCCGAGGGTCCATGCCCTCGGCGAGGCTCCCGGGGCGAATGCGTGCAGTGCCCGCCCCTGCGATTGCCAGTTTGAAGCATATCCCTACCCCCGTGGTTGGCATCACCTCACCTCGATGCCGATCTTAAGGATTTTCCCTCAGTCTCTGAGAGCACATCCCTGAGATGGCCCTCGCTTTCTGCTCGCCCATCTTAGGGATAGGGATGGGTCCGATGCTGGTTATGCGCTGCTCGCCCCCAGCGTCGCCACCAGCCCTCCTCCCAAGCTCGGCGAACAACGAGCGGCACAAAGCTCGCGGAGCTCCTTGCGGATCTCTTGGACCGGCGCTGTGCCCCCCCCCCCCCCCCTGGGCGGCGCCTCCGGCGCCGCCCCTGGCGCGCTCGGCGCACCAGGGCGGGGGGCCGTGCCCCGATCCACGACGTCCGCGCGGAGCTCCAAAAATCCGCACACATTGTTGATTTCTACTTATTCGAAAGCTCTTCGATTTTTTGGGGGGGCCAGGATCCTTTCATTTCTAATTGTTCTACCCTTGGACTCTTCCTGGCCACTGGGGGGCCACGAACAGGTAGAAACGAGCACAATTAGAAACGAGCACGATTTGAAATGAACGACGTCTAGTTATTCGGTGTCCTCTTCCTCTGCAAGTGGCATGTGGTGCGCGGCCAGCAACGTCTTCGGGCATCGTCGTCGTCGGCTCCTGGGGGCTCTCCTGGCCTCGGGATGCCCAGGGGTGGACCCAAACGGTGTTTTGGGCGACTTCGTGGGCCGTTTTCGTTTTTCGACTCCGTTCTGCGGAGTAGGCGGATTGAAGACAAAACGAGGGAAAATGAAAACAAATCGAAGACGAGAAACCTCGTTTAGGTTCAGCCCTGCGGGATGCGTTCCAGCAGCCGCGCCCCGCCGAGAGCGTTCCGGGGGTGCCCGCGCATCGTCCCGCACGGCCGCCAGAGGCTGGAGCTACTGTACGGCCCGAGCGCCGAGTGACCTCTCGCCGGAGGGGCCTCTGGTGCGCAGCTTTTGGGCGTCGCGTAAGGGGGTGGCGATACGTGGGGGGTTGGCGAGGGCGGTCCGAAAAGGTACCCAGACGGTACCTAAACGAGCCCCCTGGGGCTCCGGAGGAGAGGCCCGAAAGGGGCACGAAAGGGGGCCGTTTCTGACCCCCTCTCATCCATGACCCCCGTGAAGCCACGCCCAAAGCTTGCGGGCTAGCGGCTAGCGCGGGGGGGGGGGGGGGCAGGCCCGGGCACCCACAGCTCCGACGATGTGGAGTTGTGAATCCCAGCGTTTCTCCTTGAGCTCGGCCTCTGGGGCCCGTCATCCGGCAGGCAGGGCAACAAAGCAGGCACCCTGGACGAAAAATTGTTGAAGAGCGGAGTAGGGGGAGGGGGGGGAGGCTTGTCAGAAGCACCCTACAGAAGGTGCGGGACTTGTCTGTAGATGCAGGGCTGGCGCTTTCTAAGAAGCAGCCTCCTTCTAAGAAGCCTTCCCCCCTCCCCCTTCCCCCTTGTGCGCGCCGCAAAGAAATGGTCGAGACTTCTATCTTTGAACAACCAACTTTGCGTTGCAAGTGTACTACGATGGAAGCTCTACGAGGTTCCTGGCGGTAGCCAAGGTTGACGTTTTACCCCTGGCTTTCGGTGCCCGTATACAGCCGTTGGAGACCTAAGCGGGTCTCAGATTGGAAGCCAGCTGGGGCCGGCTGCAGAGCTCACGCCGTCGGACGCCCAGGCGCGCAGACAGCCACGCTCTCATCGCCCGCGGCGATACGACCGGCAGGCCGCGGGCCCGAGAGCCCTCGGATGGTTGAGCGGGCACGGTCGGGAAGGTCTGGCCGGCGGGGCGCTCTGCTCGGTATCGTCTAACCAATTCCCATCCCCATCCCCATCCCCTTCGAGACCCACATCAAATTTCCACCCCAGTTGGGGATACACCCCTCGAAACCCGAAGGGAACGACCTATATCCCCACCTAGGGGGGTAAATCGGCCAGTGGGGCCGAGGCCACGCCGCTGTGGGATGGGGATCGGTTAAACAATACTCATTCAGAGGAGGGCAAGGCAACCCCATACCGCTGCCTTTCTCTCGCTTGCGCCTTCCTGGGCTTCCTGGGAGGCCGCTCTCGTCGAGACCGACGGGTGCGTCTCGAGATTCAGAGCAGAGCGCACCCCGGGCGATGTCCGGGGAGTGGCAGTATCGGTACGGTAGGTTCGTGTCGTGTCGACCAGCGGCGACCCCGCCAGCGGCGTTCAACTTTGAACGCCGCGGGCGACCCAGAATCGTTCGATGCGGAACGATTTGGACGTTTCGGAAACGGCCGATCGTTCAAGCTTGAACGATCTCCGTGGTGTCACAAACCAACGCCGAAGTTGGCACGACACGAACCTATCGTACCCCTTGGTTTCCCCAAGCGTGTCGCCCCGCGGTTCCTGGCACACCACGCCTCGGCGCGTCACGCTGTCCTCAGAGGAGGGAAAAAAGCACGGCGTTGCCGCTGCCTTGCTCTCGCTGGCGCCTTCCTTGGGTTGTCGTTTTTTTCCTGCGGTAGCGAATTATTGGAGCCTGGCATACACTCTCAATTCTGTCTGTAGCGTCGATTAGCGTCTCGGAGTCGATCAGATAGCGTCGATGTGGCGTCGGCTAGCGTCGGTTAGCGTCGACTTAGCTTCGACTTAGCGTCAAGTATCGTCGACTTAGCGTCGACGAGCGCCGATTCGCAAGAGCCGACAAAAGGGTGTGGGAGGCTCCCATGAGCCTAACTGCCCCGATACGCAACGCGCAACACGTAGCGTATTGATACGGAGCTCAACACGTAGACTGAACACGCACGCCTTGAACACGGACGTTTTGAACACGGCACGTGTTACGTTTCAAAACGTGCGTATCAGAGCAGCTAAGCCCATGATCGGTATCGTTTCACCAATCCCCATCCCCATCCCCATCCCCCTTCGAGACCCCCACCACATTCCCACCCCAGTTGGGGGTACACCCTTCGAAACCCGAAGAGAAAGACCAGTATCCCTATCCAAGGGGTAAATCGGCCAGCGGGGCCCAGGCCACGCCGCTGTGGGATGGGCATCGGTTAAACGCCACTCAGAGCTGCCACCGAACCTCGTGGTGTCCCCTGAGCGTGTCGCCCCGCTGGCCCTGGCCCGCCTCGCCTCGGCACGCTGCCCCCCCCGTCCCCGCGCCTCCGCGCCCCGGGCCTCGTCCCTCGCGCCCTCCCCGCGCCGCGGGGCCAGAGCGGTACGCGCCGGGTCCGTTCGCAGGGCTTTTGGCACGCGTCGCGCCAGGCCCCGCCGCGGCGGCGAGCCAGAAGCAGCATGTCCTCAGAGGCGACGAGAAGGGGCGAGTAGCCCAGGGGAGGGCAAGACATTTATCCAGGGGCGCCGGTGATCCATGTCTTCGACAAGGCTCCCGGGCGAATGCGTGTAATGCCCGCCCCTGGGCTATTCGTCCCTAGCGTCGCCGCCGATAGAAGCAGCACTTCCCAGCCGCAGGGTATTGCTTAGAGGATGTGTTTGTGGCCCAGCCCCAGCCCAGTGCATGATCGGCGGCGAGCGAGGGGGGAAAGGGAGAAGAGGCGGGCCCTCTCAGAAGGCTCGCTCGTGAGTCTCCCCGCCTTCTGGGAAGTGAGCTTTTTTTCGAAGACAGAGAAAGCTTTTCAGAAGGCGCGAGGGCTTCTGAGAAATCCAGCAGCCTTCTGGGAAGGCCTTCTCCTTCTCACTTCCCCCCCTCGCTCGCCGCCGCATGTGGCCGAGCCTGGCCTGTGAGTTGTTACAAAAGGCTGCAAGCGCCCTGAGCGGCTCACGGGAGGCAGAGATGTGGGCGAACTGGGCGGAGCCCCCTTGCCGAAGTTGGCTGGCCTTTCTAAGCTAATGGGCTGTTTCGGGCACGTGCAACCGACTTGTAGAGCAGGTCGCGCCAGATATAACCCGCCTGCACATCCACATAGAACCCCCTTGTCCCCGTCAGCACCTTTGCCCCGGGACCGCTCCTTGCGTGTTGCCGGCCAGAGGGCGCGGACGTGCCGTCGACCATGGCCTCGTTCCCGCAGTCCATGCACCCGGAGGGCCTGCCCATCTGGGGCTGGCTCCCCCCGCAGCACGCGCTCAAGGCCTCTGCTCGCTCTTGCCGTCGTCGATGTCGTCTCGAGACGTTGTTCCATCATCTGGCGCGTAACGGTCGTTGCCCGCCACCCCTCCCCTGCCGGGGATGGGTAACGATCGTGCGTGGAAGGAGGGGGGTGGGGGCTTGACCCCTTCCCCACACATGGTGGTGCTCGCGCGCGGACGATGGCGATCGCAGAGGAGCCCCCGCCCCGACGTGCTCCACTTCGCCCAAGCGTTGATGTTACCCGGCCCTCCCCTGGGGAACGACCGTTACCCGATATGGAAATGTCTGTTTCGCCGTGGGCGTCGGCTTTTTCGTTTTCGTCGTCGTAGTCTTCTTCGCCCTCATCGTCGTCGTCGGCGTCGTCGTCGCAGTGGTCGGCGAGGAAGACCGATGCCTTTGGCGTTTTCTGGGCCCTTCTGGCGCGTAACGGTCGTTGCCCCGCTCCCCCCTTCCCTGGGCAATGGTAACGTGCGAATTGATGGGGGGTTGGACTGTCCACCCCCACATGCTGGTGCTCGCCCGCATCCTTCGGCGATCGCAGAGGACCCCCCCACCACGCCCAAGCGTTACCATTGACTACCCAGGGCCCCACCCCCCCTCCCGCAGTAATGGCCGTCATCGGAAATCAATAATGAGCAACAAACATATCGTTCGCCGTGGTCGTCGCCATTTTCGTATTTGTCGTCGTCGTCGTCGTCGTCGTCGTCGTCGTCGTCGTCGTCCTGTTCGTCCTCGTCGTCGTCGTCGCCGTCGTTGTCGTCGTCGCGGACGTCGTCGTCGTCGTCGACGAGGAGGCCCGATGCCTCCGAACTTTCTTGCCCTGCCTTCCTTTTGGAGGGCTCCAGATTTGAGTCGGCTTGGGGTCTGTGGCGCAGCATTGCTTCCGTCGAGCAAGAACGGAGGGGGGAAAGGTCCGGGGTGCTGGGCTTGAGCAGTTTTTTTTGTTGTTGTGTCCCTTTCAGCCTCCGGAGGCCGTTTCCCGGCCCCCGGACTGTGAAGAGAACGGGTCCAGGGGGAACAGCTGCACCGGGTGCACCCCGGAAGGGGCCCGGGGACCGACTGTGAGCGGATTGGCCTTTATCCCCCCGTCTCGACGGATTTTCTCGGGGCCCATCCAGTGCATCTGCGAGCCGGAACCATCGAGTTCGGTGGCAAAGCAGGGGAGCCTGGTATACCCTCTCAATTCCGACTTTACCGTCGATTGGCGTCGATCAGCGTCTGGAGTCGATAAGATAGCGCCGATTTAGCGTCGGTTGGCGTCGATTTAGCGTCGATCTAGCGTCGATGAGCGTCGACTGGCGTCGATTCGCGTCGACTCGCAAGAGCCGGCAAGGGCTGCCGCAGAAAGTCGCGCCCAAGATCTTTTGGTTGGCTGCCCTCGGCGCGGGCCCCCGCGGCGGCCTGGGGCCAACCGCAGGTTATTCTTAGCACCCGTTTTTTTCAATATCCCAGGCGGGCAGTTTTCGCAGAACGGTAAACTTAGCACCCGCCGCAAACAGAAAACAAAATCCATCGGTGGCCGCCCCAATAAGGCCAAGAGAGGGTGTTACCCCGGGGCGGGCGGGGCCGGGTCGCGCCCGGCCTGCGAAAGAGCCGGCGTCGTCGGAGGTCTCGGGGCTGGGCCTCGCCCCCGCCCGCCTTCCCCTGCCGCCTCCGCCTCCGCCTCCCCATCCCCTGACCTTCCAGGAGGGCTAAGGAGCAGCAGCAGGACGTCGGCGCCCTGATTCCTGTCGAGGTTTGAGGCAGTCCAGATCGATCTAGAGGTCCAGAGTGCTATTTTTCAGCACTCTAGAAAATCAGGGTCTAGGCCTCCCAGGCGGGGGTCCGAATAGATGGGGTCGAAGCATCGCGCCGCATCGCCGATGCATCGCCGATGCGGCTCGATGTGGAGCCTGATTGTCTCCACGCCGGCAGCGCCGATGCATCGCCGACGTCGCCGATGCATCGGCGATGCATCGGCGATGTATCGCCGATGCGTCGCGATCCTCCGACCCCATTTGCTCGGACCCCTCCTTCCCCCTCCCTCCTCGTTTCCTTGCCAGTCTTGCGTTTCCAGCTCCACTGTCCTTGCTCCAGTTGGAACGGGAGCTTGACTCCTAGTTGCTGTCGAGTGCTCGGAACTCAGCCACGCCGCCGTGCGAAGACGGAATTCTGTGGCGTTCCGGTGGTGGTGGTGGTGGTGGTGGTGGTGGTGGTGGTGGTGGTGGTGGTGGTGGCTGTTAGGGACGGGTGGGAGGAGGAGAAGGACGAGCTGGGCGGAGGGCGGAGGAAAGAGGAGAGAGGAAAGAGAGATGGGAGGATGGAGGACGAGACAGGGAGGAGGAACGAGGAAGAGGGAGGCAGGCTCCTCGAGGGATGCTGCCGCTCAACTCAAAAAAAAAAGTAAGGCGCAGAAGCGGGTGACCATCGGCAAGAGGCAGCACAAGAGGCGCCTTGAATCGTACGAGCCGCAGGTGCCCCTGACGGAGGAGGAGGATCGGTGGCGCACAAAGGGCTGACCTCGCGACGTGAACAGAATCACGGCGGGCGGTTTTCTCACCTCGACGACGAATGAAACAGCAGCCGCGTACATTTTCGGAGCTCCGCGCGGAGTTCGGCGGAAAAACCATTCAAAAACACAGTGTGGACACACACACACAAACACACACACAACACACAGAACACACACACGCACACACACGCACACACACACACAACACACACAACACACACAACACACAGAACACACACACACGCACACACACACACGCACACACACACACACGCACACACATACACACACACACGCACACATACACACACACACACGCACACGCACACGCACACGCACACGCACACGCACACACACATACACACACACACACACACACGCACGCACGCACGCACACACACAACACACACAACGCACAGAATACACACACAACACACACACACACAAAGAGAACACATTCACAGTCTGTGGGGATGTCACACAGTGTGCGTTTATTCCACAGTGTGCGTCTTGTGTTCTTTCCACAGAGTCTGCTCGCGGGCCACCCCGGCGGCGCCTCCCGCGCCAGTGGCTGGCGTGCAGGGGAGGGCCAGCGCGGTTTCCACAAGACCTCCGCGCGGAGCCCCGAAAGCTGCGGTTCGTGCTGCTGCCCGCCCCTCGGATCGCACGGGTCCCATACTGCCGGCCCTTCGGCCTCCTCCTTCTCCTCCTCGTCGTCCTCCTCCTCCTCCTCGTCCTCCTCCTCGTCCTCCTCCTCCTCCTCCTCCTCCGCCTCCTCCTCCTCCTCTTGTCTCCGATGACCCTGGAAAGAGGTCGCTCGTTCGCTCCTCGAGGACGTTGGGCAAGGAGCTCGGCGCTCGCCTTGGGGGCTCAGCTGGTCTCCTCGTGCCAAGTCCAGCCACTTAGGTGTGGACGACGCTGCGGGCTAGGCACGCCGACGCCAAGGGAGATCTGGTAATGCCAAAAGTAGGGAGAAAACTTCGAGGAGTGTTTGTGCCAGGTTGGCGCCTTCGCGACCCACGGTCGGGGGCCGCGTGGCCCGTCGTGTGCTTGCCGCGGGGTCTATGGCTAGGTTGCAGTTTCGTCGCCAGGCGGCCTCTGTGCTGCAACCCTCGGCCAAAGGAAGATCCCTCACCTGTCTTTGGTTGGTCCACCAGGAGCCGCGCTGGCTCGCGGCGGTAGCGCCGATCATCCGTTGGGCCAAGGAGGTTTGGATCTCCCACCATTATCTGTGCTCGTTTTCTGTCCCCTCGGCCGAGCTCGGAGAAACTTGGGATGTTGGTTTCCGCGAAGAGTCGGGGCGCTGGAAAAATGTTTCTGGACTTGTGTCGGCCCTTCAGAAGTCCTGCGAGCGTATTGTTTCTGGAACGGGGGAACTTTTGCCATGATCACTTCGGACCAAGGAGACAATATTGTGCTTACTGAAGTTTCGCCTCAGCTGCTGATGATGCTTCTCAAAAAAAGCGGTGATTCGTGGGCTGGAGTGGGACTTGGGGGCCAAACTTAACCTGAATGGGAGGGAGTGCGTCGATGGCTCCAGAGCTCTCGGCTCAGTCCTTTTCAGAAGGGTTGTGTGAGGTCGTTGTTTTGTAACGCCATCCATTTATAGTTGGCAGCGCGCTGCCGACTTAGGCGACGTTCTACCGTCCACGCTGTGCCCGCTGTGCCTCGACGCGGAAGACACGCGAAGGCATCGTTTATGGTAATGTGCGGGGGTGTCGAGCGAGAGGGACGTTTTGGTCAAGGACAAGGTGAGGAGGTGGGCGGAGGACGCGGACGACGTGCTCGCGTGTTTCGGAGTTTCCGACCACCCTGCCGAGTCTCCCCTCGCCTTCTTCAGCCCAGTGGAGTGCAGGTCGACGGGTTTTTTTCCTACTGACGGGGACTCCATGGTCGACGACGTTTGCCTCAGGGATGTATCATCGGACGGGTCGTGTAGCAAGAGGGTCATCCCCGAACCCGATCGTGCGGGTTGGGCCTACTCGCTCTGGCATCGTGACACAGGTATCGAGATCGTTAGAGTGCGGGGGCCAGTCTGGCCCCCGTGTCCACAGACGGCGCAGGCCGCTGAGTTTAACGTTTGCTCGATCGCTGTGCAGTGGTCGAGTGATCCTTGCGAACTGTTTGTTGACTGTGAGGCCTGCGTTGATTTTCATGCCCTTCCGTGGAAAGAGCAATGCTCTCCAAAGCGAGCTTACGCTGGAGTTGAGTTGCTCAATCTTTTCGAGAGTTTTCCAGCGGTGCAAAGTGCACAAAGTCAAGGCCCACCGATCCATCGAAGGGGCCGAAAATAGCTGGGATCTCTACTTGCGTGAAGGTAGCCATGCTGTCGACGCTTCGGCGAAACAAGCTGTGTTGATCCACCCACAGCCCGAGCGCGCGGAAGCTGAGGATGTAGATTGCAAGCTGGCCATTGCGAGAGTTGTGGGCATCCTGGCCGCGATCCTCTTACCACTTTGGCCGCAGCTCGATCTTGGGCCGAACGTGCAGAGGGTCCTTGTTGCCGCCCCTGTGAGCAAAGAGCAGGGTCCGACGCACGCTTGGAGCTGTACCGGACGTTTTTTTGCAGTGTTCTCGATGTTTTCGTGGATCACGTTCAGCCGACAAACCGCCCGCAAGTTTGTGCCGTGGTGGCGCGGGCGTCGGGATCCGTGGCATGGATGTTCCTGCGTTTTCTGCTCTCGGGCTCAGCATGCCTTTTTGTTTGACGTCTCGGACGGCAGTTTTGTTTTCGTGCGCCTCAAGTGCATGTTCTACACTGGAGGTGGGCAGGTTCGAGGCCTCCGACAGCCCGGCCAACCGATCCCGAAGGCTAGAGCTCAGGGTCGGAAGCACGCTTGGAGGCAGATCGCGAGGAGACGGCATCCCAATCGTGGAGACGTCACTGTCTCTGTTGGCCCCTGGGCCCAATATGGCCCCCGCTCCCTCTGTTGAGCCCCCCCCCTCCCCCGGCCTTGGAGGAGGAGGAGGATGCTCACGAGAGGTGCTGGGCCGATTTGGCCCAGCGCCTCCTCTCGGCTGCCACTTCGAGCCTGCCTGAGGATCTTGGGCGGCGCTGGCCAGATCCAGCACGCACCATTCCTCACCGCGGAGACAGCGACACCGATCAGGCATTTAGGAGCCTGCTCCATATTTGTCTGGTCAGATGGTGGGGTCGGGGTTCGGGCCCTGTTCTTGGGGTGCCCCGAGTCAGTACCTGCCCCGCCCTGCCTTGTGGTGTCTGTCTGGACTTCGCCTTTTGTTTCTTCTTGTGCGTTGCTGGCTTGTGTCAGCACGCTGCTTCCTCGCCGCGGTGGCAGCGGCACTGTTCAGGCATTTAGGAGTCTGCCCCATATTTGTCTGTGTGCATGGTGGAGTCGTGGATCGGGTCCTGTACCGGGTTTGCCCCGAGACAGCACCCGCCCGTTCTAGCCTAGAACGGTCCCGCTCTTGGCTAGAACGGGGCCGTTCTAGTCTAGAACGGGGTCGTTCTAGTCCAGAACGGCCCCCTTCCTGCCCTGGTGGCGCCAGGCAAGGCTCGACCTTTTGTTTCTTCTCGCTCAGCCTGTGTGCGCGGGTCTAAACTTCGTGCCTGCCTGTTAGACGTGGGTTTGTGTTTTTTGTTTGTTGCCTCGGGGGTCTCGCCCTCCCCTGAGATGGCGCGCGGGCTGCGTGCTGCGCTGCGGCAACAAAACATCCTGGCATCCCCCCTCTCGCCGTCCACTGCCCCCACGTTCCTCCCCCGTCGTCCCGACATCACTCCCGTTGCCCTCCGCCGCCCACTCGTCTTCCGCCTCTCGTCAACCTCCTCCCTCGGAACGCACGGGCTGCAGACATTCAAGCTGGAGAAAATGACAGGTGCCAGCCCTACCATGTTGTCCAGCCATGGCCAGTGTCCCTTTCTTGCTTCCAGTCCTGGCGGCCGCATCCCTAGTGTTTCGGGCTCGCTCCACCCCTTGCCAGTGTTTCCAGCCCTGCCCACTTCCATGTGTTGTACATTTGTTCCAACTTCCATGTGTTCCAGTTGTTTGATTTTCCAACTTCCATTTGGTCCAGCTTCCTTGTACATCTTTCGGCTGTCGGGGCACCTGCCGGGCCCCGCGGCCGCCAAGCATGGACTCGGGAGGAGAAGCCCGTCCCTGGGGAAGGGGCCCAGAGCTTCTGGGAGACATGCTGCGACAACAAGAGGTCACGACCTAGGAGGTCATGGGTGCCCAGACAGCCGAAGGGTGGTATCCCTTTCGATCCGCACGTTTGTCTTCAGCTCCAGCCTGTGGAGGCCGCAGGGTCAATCGCGACAACAAATTTTGGGCGGAAAATTGCCGCCGGGGGGACGCGATCAGAAGACCCCTTGTGTCGGTGGCTCAAAGATGGGGTCCTGAGGGATGGGGTCCTAAGGATAGGAAGGGGTCTAAGAGTGGATATACATTGTCCGAGGCACCTCGTCCTTAGGACCCCATCCCTCTGGACCCCATTTTTGAACCACCGACTGTGGCCGCGGATTAAGCAAATCGCACCGCCAGATGCCTGCGAAGCGGGACAGGCAGAGGCCCGACGTCCGTTTCCGCGGTCACCGCGGAGGAGAGAGCAGCATCGGGCGCGGCAGGCGGCAGGCGGAAGCGGCAGTGGCGGCACCGCTCCCCAAGGGGGGTTGGCGGATGCTTTCCGATCGATTTGTCGTCATTGGGCCAGGAATCGAGGATTGAGGTTCATATTTGGTTGTTGGCCCATGATTTGCACCAACAGCGGTTCCCGCCTGATATTCCTTCCTAATCATGTATTCCAGAACCGCGATCTCGCGCGGGACCTTCTCACATTGTATGCAGGAGTCGCGCTTTCGCGTAGGACCTACTCGCAAATTATTCATACGCCGCGCCCTCGACACTCAGGAATCACGCTCTCGCTTTGGACTTCCTCACGATGTACTTGAGAGTTGCGCTCTCTCGAGAGACTTCCTTGCGATTTGTGTTGGACTCACGCTTCAGCGACCCGCCTGCTCGACCAGGCCGTCTGGGCCCGCCCCACCGGCCCGTCTGGTCTTGCCACTTGTACTCCTATTCCTAGCCCCCCCTCCTGCTAATCTCTCGTTCTCAATCCTTCTCTCTCCCCCTTGTCTCTTCCCTCTTGCCTCTGGTCCCCTGTTTTCGGGGCTGCGCCAACTACACCTGGCAGGTAAGGGAGATATGCTGCCAAGGGGGGTACGATCGAGAAGGTTCGGCGGGAAAGCCCCCTTGCCCCCCCCACCACAAAAAGGGATGTTTTGAGGTTCCGTGGGGGAGACTTCCCTAACCCTTTCAAGCAATCTCTTGAGGGTGGCTTTTGGTGGGCTTCGGGGGGAGAAAGAAAACGCCAAACCCCATCCAGGATCCGCCTTGGGGCGGAAAACTTGATGACCTACCCAAGAGTTCCTTTTGATGAGGGTTTTGAAGAGGTTTTTTAGGGTCGGTCCGTGGGGAAGACCTTCCTAACTTTCCAAAGAACTCTCCTGAGGGGGGGGGGTTCAAGGGTAGACCCCCTTTACCACCCATAACCTCCCTTGAGGAATGTTTTTGTTGGGGGATCCAGGGGGAACGCCGCCTGGTGGTTTTTTAGTGGGTTGCAGTTCCGGGGGAACGTTCTGAGGTTAAAACTTCCATAACCCCGCCGCGAAAGCCTCCTTAAAGCGGGTTTGGGAGTTCTGGTGGGGAACCCCCGTAACCCCTTAAAAAACCTTCTTTGTGGGGGGCTTTGGGGGGGTCCGGGGGAAAGCCTCCCGAACCCCATCACCAACCCTCATTGACGTGTGGGGGGTGGGAGGTTTCGGGGGCCAAATGTTTTAACGCACCCAAGGATCCTTTTTGAGAGGGGTTTGGGGGAGATTCCAGGGGTTGGAGCCCCCTTGACCCTTCCAACACCATTCCCTTAGGGGGTTCAGGGCTTTTATTATGCAAAGCGGGTTTCCTAGAACATAATGGAAGCCTGGCAAGGGACCCCCCCAAAAAATTGCTCAATGGAGGGTGTTGGTGAGTCTTTGGGTTGTTGTTTTTTTGGGGGGGTTGTTGTGGTGGTGGTGCTTCTGATTGTGCTGCGGAGGCCGTCCCCCCACCAAAAACACCCCCCCCCAACCCCACCCCTAGGCTCTCATTTTGAAAACGCCCCCCCCCCTAAGGGTGATTCGGATATTTGTTTCGAGGTGGGGTCCTGGAAACTCCCACCCGGTCTCGTCTATTGAATTCCGCGTGGCTGGAGAAATCGGAGAGGCGACGCCTTTATGGATTGCAAGCGCGTTGTCTTAGGAGCAGTTTGTGAACACCCGGCACTCTCACATTTCAAGGATACCGAACACAATATCATTGGATAAAGCAGGGGGACGACTTTATAGCGACCATATGTTAATACATCAAATTGTACGGTTTGCAAATTTCGGCCGTTGCATGGATGACGATATGTTGCGGAAGCTAGCAGCGCGAAACTTGTGACGGATTCTGTCAGGGGGGCGCCTGGGCGCCCAAGGCGTGAGTGGACAAAGTGTTTGTGCAATTTGATTTGCAAGAGATTTGGCGCCGACTCTGCCCTTGCCGATTGCCTGGCAGAAGGACGAACGCAACATCACTTTGCAACAGAGTTTGCGCCTGACGGCCGCGCTGTACACTGACCTTCTTGCCCAGGCAGTGCATGATTTCAACTGACCCCGCTCCGAATGGCGTACGGCTTCTCGCTCGCTCGCAATCCAGTCAAGCATTCGAATAACAGCTAAGGCGAAGAGGCGGGTCGAGACGTAGGAGGTCGGCTAGCGAAACAACCTTGCATCTCTGCGTATCCCAAAGGGCTCGTAGGAACGAAGCACCCGGAACAAGTGTGAGAGTACGGCCATGTGCATTTTAGCGCTTTTGCATGGGAGCGTGGGCGTCTGGACCCAACGTGTCGCCGGCATTGAGGCGTGAGCACGCTACTCGAATACGGCAGGGCCGAGGTATAAGATCGAGGGCGGCCCGGGGCGGGTACGCACCCTAATGCTCTCCGTGTTTGGTTGATGCTCGAGGCTATGCCTCCTCTCGGCCTCGCTCTGAGGCTCCGCCGCTGTCTTCCTCCTCTTCTCTGCCTAATTCAAGTTTCGCGCTGCCTGCTTAGCTTCGACCGGAAGAGGTGCGCTCTCGACCCGCGGATCAAAAAGTGTTTGGTGGATGCTCTTGTGCATCCTGGGGGAGGGTGCCCTCGGATGTTCTTCGGTTTGGCCGGCGGGGGTCTCGCGTTTTTGAGGGATGTGTTTCTGTTTGAGGCCCGGCCGTGCATCGCGGAGGCTCCGGCGAAACGGTTGTGGAGTGGGCGGGCACGGGCTCTTCGTTCCCTGTGGGACTCTTTTGTGGGGGGCGCACACCCGTAGGGTGCTGCGCGGGCACAAATCGCAGGTCGGCCGACGGGCCCTGCGGCGCCGCGGCGCGTGCGACGCGGGCCGCATGCAGCCCGACCGCAGCGCGCACCGCCCGCAGTCGCATCTTTGCGCTTCTGTGTTGTTTCGCGCGGGCCTGCCGCGGTCGCTCGCGCAGGCGCGCCGCGGGGATCGCGCACGCGGCGGATCGCGGCGCGCCTTGGCGATGCTCGCTTCGCAGGTTGTCTATTATATTGATTTGGGCACCGCGCTCGTGCGGCGCTCGCGCGGCGCGGGCCCGTCGGCCGTTCTGCCCCACCCACCCGCTCCTGGGTGCGGGGCTGCCTCGGTCGTTGGCGGCCCCTTGTCCGCCTCTCCCGCCCGCCCTTGGGGTTCAACGCCCAGGCTGGCCTGGTCGGGGACTGTGCGCGTCAACGAAAGCACCCCCCACGCGGGGCGCTCGCGGGACGGCAGCCCGGGCTCGGTCGCCGCACCCATCGTTGGGGCGTTGGCGCCCGAGGTCGGGTACACAAGGAAGGTGCGCCGAGATTTGTGGTCCATTTTCTGTTCTTGCATCAGGTCGGGCCTGCCCCTCTACAGGGGGAGTACTCAAACATAGTAAGCGAATACTGCGGGGACGATTTTTTGATTTTTTTGTTTTGCAATTTGGGGGTATTTGTTGAGTATTGTTTGCATTTCGCCCCAAATCCCCCTTTTCGGGGGACATGCTCGACCTAATACGTGTAATACGGCCGGACCGAGGTGCAAGATCGAGGTCGGTTCGGGGAGGGTGCCCTGGCGTTCCCCGTGTCGGTTGCGTGTTCTTGTGCATCTTTGATCAGGGCACTCTCCAGGGTTCTTCGGCATTGGCCGGCGGAGGGCCTCATCTTCTTGGAGGAGGTTCTTCTGTCCTGGGTACGACCGTAGAAACTTTTAGCGAAATCCCATCAGGGATTCATTCAGGAGGGAGAGCTCGTTCCAGAGGAAAGCCCCGGGATCTAGGACCCGTCTCCTTCAGGACCCCGTCCCTTCATGCCAGGGGGGATCTCGGGGCGAACTAAGTAGCAGCTCTCCAAGAGCTCAGCCCCCGTGTCTTGAGGCCTCTGAAAGGGGCACTTGCGGTCACGAACCTTTGCTTAGCGAGTCGCGCCGCCGATTCTGGTCGCATTGCGCGTCGCCAGGGCCGTCGGCCGCGACGCGCTAAGCAAAAGCTCCTGACCGCAGGCCGGTCCCCTTCAGTGAAGCGCCCCAGGGCCCGGGAAGGTCGCCCACTCTTCGCCCTGCCCTGCCCTCCTTCGGCACGGAGCCGGCGAGGAGGAGGCCGTCAGCGGGTTCTTCGACGACCTGCAGAAGGAGTTTCCCAAGTCGGACTCCCTGAAGCGGCTGCCGCTGTACTTCGTCACCGGGGCGCGCTTCCAGAAGAGGCTGGACGGCTACCTGCGCTCGAAGCTGCGGAGGGGCGTGCCGTCCCTGTTCCGGATGGTGCCCGACGGACGGCTTCTCGCTTGCTCCTCCTTCTCTTGGCATCGCTCGGACGTGCGCACTCTTTTCCTCGACGAGGACAATCGAGGAGCATCTTGGACCATCTCGCGAAACAACGCGCACGAGCCCGCAAACATGCACGGGGAATGGACGTCCGAGCGATGGATGCAAGTCGTGGGGCGGTAATTTGCATGGTGACCCTCCTCTGTGTCCCTTTTGGCTCAGGCCGCCCTCCTGGGGCTTGACGCGCGGTGGCACTGCAGGTGCGGCCCGTTTTCTACGGCCGCATGCTGCTTCTCAGCGCACGACGTGTGGGGCTCGTCGCGGTCGCGGCGCCGCCTGCAGGTTCGGGCATCTCCAGCCACCACTGCGGCTGCGGCGGCGTTGCCAGCGCGGGCTTTCAAGGTTGACCGCCGTCAGTTGCCCAGAGTTGGCGGATATCGTTGGATCTGCGTCGTTGGGAAGCCGCGATTGTTCAGGGTTGGACGATCCGCGCTATACGTTGGAAGCCAGCGCCGACGTCGTCGCGGCGTGGGCCTGCTGTGGGCGAGCCAGCTCCCAGTCGAGAGACGTGTTACGCCCAGACGTCTGGGCAGCGCAGAATCACTCACGACGGGCTGAAGTCCGCAAGGGCTTCGCCCCCCGCCGCCGGCTCCCCCTCCTCGGAGAATGGGGCATGCAAGAGCCAGGTTGTGAGGCCTGGGCGCCATCGTGAAGCAGCGTCGGAGCTCCGAGCGGGAGCCACTGGAGACATGAGCGTGCCAGAATCCACCAAGGACCTGAGGACCATCGCAGATCTTGACCTTTTGGGGGCCCCTCTTGGGGGTGCTCTTGGAGCGCTCTTGGGCTTGGGAGCCTCTTGGGCCGTCTTGGGACCATCTTGGGCGCCTTGGAGCACTCTTGGGCCGTCTCGGAAGCCTCTTTTACCGTCTTGGGGGCCTTTTACAAAGGATTGTGGCCTCGAACGCGCAAGTACTGAGTACGTTGCGAGGTTTTATGATTTCGGAGACGCGAAGAACTTATGATTCCGAGGGATCGTGGCTTCGGGGACGCAATTATCGCGTACTTACTTTGAGAAAGAAGAGAGTATAGCCTCGGAGACGCGAATCGCGCGTACATTTGAAGGAATTCTTTTCTCGGCAGCGCGGGCACAGCGTAACACGCTGTGGGTTATGTCATCGGGGGCCCGACTACTGCGCAACTTGCGAAGGGTTATGGCCTCGGTGGCGCGAGCATGGTGTACGAGGGATTCTGGTTTCGGGGGCGCGTATCTCGTGCACTTTTACTTGTCCCAGGACCCCTCAGAAATTTTGATAACCCCCCCAGGTGGTCGTAGCCAGCGCCCTTTTCGGCTCCCCCCCTCGGGCGGACTTCAACAATTTACAGCAGGAAGCAGAACGCAGGACTGCAACATGGGAGACTGGAAACTGGAACTGGAGCAGGGGGCAGCAAGCCTAATCCGCGGAGCCTGGTGGCCCCACAAGGGCGCCTGCGGACTTTCCGATCTGGGCCTCTGGGGGGGCCTTCCTCGGTCCGTGAGCTATCAAGGGTAGCACCCAAGGCGAGTCCTGGGGATGGGGTCGATAGCCCCGGGGGCCTGCGTGATGACAAAAACCCGACGTCGTAGGTCCTGATATCATGCTTCGTCCGTCGAGGTACGGCCCCTGTACTTCCAGCCGGGGAAGCCCGCTCTGATAGAGGAGCTGCTCCAGCAGTACCTCAGGTGCCTCGAGGAGGAGGTGCCGTGGTTCGGCCCCCCTGTTGGTGAGGCCGGCACCAGCGATCATGACGAGGATGGGGGCCTCTCGTTACGACCGCCAGCCAGACATGCTTCCCTTCCACTTCTCTGTCGCTTGTTGGGGGGTGGAGGGGAGGGGGACCCACGAGCGACGAACATATGCATATCCATCCCCTCGTGGTTCGGAAACCGAGGCGCTATCATATGGATGCGCGATCCCGTGGATACGTTCCGCGCGGGGGGCATCCGTGCACAGGCACCCTGGATCCATGGAGTCGCGGCCAGGCAATCCGGGCCGCGTAGCCGTGGATATGTTTTACATATACATATTCATACATACAGCTATACACCTACACACTTACATCTGTATATTTACATACCTACACAAATATACATACATGTATACATATATTTATGTGCAACTATGAATGTATATATGTATGGTTCCCGTCCGCGAGGGGCATGGCGAGTGGATTGAGCTGGCGATGTCGTAGCGAGCGAGGGTCCTCGAGAGGAGCCTCCTTCCTGCCTGCTTTTCACTCTCATGGTCGCCGCCGAGCACTTCGACTTCCTCGGTGACACCCCCAAGGCGTTAGAGTACGCGGACAAGGCCATCGAGCACACGCCGACGCTTGTCGAGATCTACGCGTGCAAGGCGAAGATATACAGGCACGCGGGCAACTTGGAGGAGTCGGCCCGACTGTTCGACGAGGTGAGGCAGATGGACCTCGCGGACCGGTTTCTGAACACGCAGTGCGTCAGGGCGTTCCTGCGCACGGACGACACCCAGCAGGGCATGGAGAAGGCGCTCCTCTTCTCGAAGGAGCCGGACTCTCCCGAGGCGGCCAACCTGCATGACATGCAGTGCATGTGGTACGAGTCTTTCGTGGGGCGCAGCTACACCAGGCAGGGGAAGCCCGGGCGAGCGCTCAAGAAGGCCACTCCTCCTCCTCCTTCTCCTCCTCCTTCTTCATTCCCCTTCCTTATACATAGATTCTCCCTGTCGCACCCCGAGGCCAGTTTTGAGGGCGGGCCGGGCGTTTCGCCTGAGACGTCTTCACCATCTATGATTCTGAAGCTTAAAATTGGCATTACAGATGGAGGGCGGGCCGTTTTCAAAATGTGGCTCTGGCCTTAGCGCGGCGCACATTCTTTGAAAGAAGGTGTAAGAGTTTCACGGATAGAGGGCGGGTGATTTTCAAAATGTGGCTCTCGCCCTAGCGCGGCGCACATTCATGTTAAACATTTGCAAGAACTTCACGGATTGAGGGTGGTTCCTTTTCAAAATGTGCTCTCTTCTTTGCGCGGCACACATTCTTTCTCAAAAATTTGCAAGAGTTTCACGGATTGAGGGCGAGTGGTTTTCAACATGTGGCTCTCGCTTTGCGAAGCAGAGATTGCAAGAGCTTCACGGGTTGAGGGCGGTGCTTTTTCAAAATGTGTCTCTCGTCTTAGCGCCGCGCACATTCGTTTACAACATTTTGAAGAGTCTCACGGGTTCCCATCATCAACGTACCAGAAATGGTGTTTTGGAAGGGTTAAGTATCAAGCGAGCGCAACAGTTACGTGTATTCTCCGTGTTGACGCCCACGGAATGGCGTTCTGACGCGATTCAGGATCGTCAAAACGCAAGAGTCAGGTTGATCCGTGGCGTAGGAATCCCGAGAACAATGTTTCGGCATGCTTCAGGGTCTTCAAACGGGTGTCTTCCAACGGGGCAGTTCCCTCAATGGAAATGAACCGTTGCAGGGGCATATAAACGGGGAGTTTGGAGGGAGGGTTTACTCCAACATCTTTGATGACCCTTGGGTTTACACTGGTCCTCCTCCTCCTCCTCCTCCTCCTCCTCCTTCCCACCCTCATGGTTGGCGCGGGCCTCTTTTCTTGCTCCTCCTACACTCATCCACCTTATCAGTTACCCCGCCTCCTGATGCATGTTTCCTCATGGCTATCGGGTTTGTCGAACGCAGCCCCTCCTTCTCCTCCTCCTCCTCCTCCTCCTCTTTGTCCTCCTCCCCCTCCCATCGTTGGCGCTGGCCTCCCTCCCTCTTGCTCCGCCTGCACTCCCTCCGCCGTCCACCACATCGGTTACCCCTCCTTCTCAAGCTTACTCGAGGCTCCTTCGCCTCACTCTTGCGCCGTCTCCGCTACCCTCCTCCGTCCCCGCCGTCGCCCCTCCCTTCTCTCGGCGGCGAGCGAGGGGGGGAAGTGAAAAGGAGAAGGTTCTCTCAGAAGGCGGCGGGGCTTCTCAGAAGCCCTGGGGCCTCCTGAGAAATTTGCTGCGTCTTCGGGGGAGGCTTACAGGACTTCTCAGAAGGCCGGGGGACTTCCGAGGCTCCTGAGAAGGCCCGCCCCTTCTCACTTGGCCCCCCGTGGCTGGCCGCCGACCCTCGAGTTCAACGAGACCTTCAAGCACTTCAGCGACATCGCTGAGGACCAGTTCGACTTCCACAACTACTGCCTGCGGAAGACGACCCTGAGGTCCTACGTCGCGATGCTGCGGATGCAGGAGCGCCTGTACTCCCACAAGTTCTACCGGGCGGCGGCGAAGGACGCCATAAAGATCTACGTGGACCTCTTTGACCGGAAGGATCGGGCAGACGTAAGACTCGAGCTCGCCGCAGCTCGGAGCCGCCGAAGCTTTTTGACGAGCAAGTCTTGGATCTCGACGGTGCAGTTTTCGTGGGATGCTTGCGGCGGGGGATCGCGCCAGATCTCAGCTCGGGGCTCGCCGTTCTCTCGACGGCCCCGTTGGGCCAAGCCGAGCCCCCCGAAACCCGAGCCCTGCGCCTCTCCGAGAGGAGCGCGGGGAGGTCCTCACCAGCAAGGACGAGGCCGACGGCAAGGAGGCCGAGATGACCGCCGCCGAGAGGCAGACTGGCGGCGCGCACCAATCCAGGGGAGTGCCCACGGCTCGGCCGGCTTCGGCCGCGTCGCGGTCGTCGTCGTTCGTCGCCACCGCCGTCGTCGTCGCCGTCGTCGTCGTCGTCGTCGTCGTCGTCGTCGTCGTCGTCGTCGTCGTCCACCGTCGTCGTCGTTTGTCGGCGTTCGTCGTCGTCGTCGACTTACTTCGTCGTCGTTCCTCGTCAGTCGTCGAAGTCGTCGTCGTAGTCGTCGATTTGCACGTTCGCCTATGCCTCCGCTTAGGGGGCCCCAGGTGCCGCAGACGGGGGCACAGTGAGCCGGAGCAGGTGGAAAAGCCAAGGTCAGCCCCCGTTTGACGATGCCCCCGTTCACGAAGCCCCGAGTTGTGCCGTTCCTGCCGTTGTTTCGGGGGGTGCTAAGGGTGCACCTGGCCCTAGGTCCCCCCAGCTTTTCGTTAAATTTTGGAGCCCCTGGGGCCTTCTGGGCCGCGTGAGGGGTGCTCTGGAGGCCATGAGGGCCTCCGTGGACATCCTGGGGGCACACTGGGCCAGGGGCACTTCTAGCAACACCCGATTGCTGCGTCGCTGGGCCCGTCTTGGCTGCCTGCGGCCTCTCGGTTCCAGATGGTTTCTGTTTCGCTTTCGGTTCGGTTGGTTTTCGATTCTTGCTGTCACCGTCGGCAGCCTTGACCTGACCATGGGCTGGCGCGAGGGGGGCGGCCTTCTGAGAGGGCACTGGGGTTCTTAGACGCCCCCTGCATTCCGGAGAGATGTTCTCAGCAGCCGCCAGGCCCTTCTATGACCCCCCAGCCTCCTCAACAGCCCGCCCCCTCGCTCCACTGCTTTCTGCGCGCCGCCAAGGAAGAAGATGAAGCACCAGAAGAAGCGCCAGGAGAAGAAAGAGGACCCCCCCGCCTCAAAGGACGGGAAGACGACGGCGAGCGGGAAGCCTAAGAAGGTCGACGACGATCCCGAGGGCGAGAAGCTTCTTGAGAAGGACCCCATGGAGGAGGCGAGCAAGCTGGTGAAGACTTTGGTGCTGTACTGCGACGCCGACGCGGCCACACACACTCTGACGTACGAGGCCTCCTCCTCCTCCTCCTTCTCCTCCTCCTCCTCCTCCTCCTCCTCCTCCTCCTCCTCCTCTCCTCCTCCCTTCTCCTTCTTCACCTTACAGTGCGGCTCTGCCCTTGGTTCCCACGTGCGGGCCTCGTCATGTCTTGATTCCTGAGTCGTACGGTGAGGAACTCTTGCTTGGCGTGTCGCGGCGGCGGCCCCTGCGACACGCTAGGCCGCTGTGCCTTGAAAGCTGAGACGTGTCGCTCTGCTTCGTGCGACGGGAGGCTGGGAAACGTTCGGAACGTTGATGCCTGGACTGGGACGTGCGCAGCGTGCCGCGCTGAGGCGTGGTGAACGGGCGCTGGCGGCCCGACACGCTAAGCAAACGTTCCTGACCGTACTGCTCCTGCTCCACACTTCTCGTCCGGCCGGCTTTTTGGCCAGAGCTCGGGTTTGGGGCGCCGTTCCTGGCAGAGCTTCGTGCCCCCGGGGTGCACTCCGCGAGGCGCCGTTGGAAAACGCCCCCGGGGCCCGAACGTTTCCGGACCCCTTCGATTATCAAAAAGTGAGTCTGCGAAGACGGCATTTGCCTGCAGGCAGTGGTTATGTATGTTAGTATGAGTGTGACGAGCACGTTAACGCATCGGGGCCATCTTCGGGGGTTCTTCGTCATGCTCTGATCCTCGTAGCAAGTGTAGTTTGTTTGGCTCCAGTGGGGCACGCGCATACGTGCGCGATGCGTTACATCAGCTTTCTTGCATCAACGGTGCAATTGCCGAAACTCTTGTGCGTGTTTGGGGTACGTCTCCTGACTGGACTGGAGTCAACCACGCAGACAAACGGACCCAGTCAAAGCTCGTACCAGCAAAATTATCCACTGACTGTCAAAGTCCTCTTCTTGCAGGCGCTGCTCGTGTTCCTCTCCGCAGATGATCGTCGCAGAAAAACGGGGTCGTCTGCACATTGGCGCGTAAGCTGCCCAAGACAAGGCAACTGCAAATTTATTACGTAGCCGTGCCCCCGCGCGTGCGCAGACCAGCCCAGTAGGACAGTGCCCGCACACATGGCCCTCCGCGGAGGCGGAGGCGGAGACGTTCGGCTGTCGCCGAGGGTCAGGGGAGCTCTTCGTCCCCAGGTTGCGCTTGAGGGGCCCTGTGCTGCTGCGCTTTCATCGTGGGAACAAACAGACTAGCATTGGCGCGTACGCTGCCCGCGTAAGGACGCGCGTCCACGCCCTCTCTTCCGATGTGGCGTGCTATGCCGGCGGCCCACGTAAGCCGCAGCGCAAGGCCGCTATGCCGCTATGCCCTCTTGCGTGAGACCCGTCTCCCGTCGTCGCCCAGGTGGCCCGCCGCCAGGGGAAGCTGCTCCACTGCTTGCAGGCCCTGCTCCGGCTCTGGAAGCTGGCTGGAGGAGATCCGGGGGGGGAAGAAGCGAGCCGCACAGACGTAGTACCGTCCATTTCTCGCCCAGCCGCTGGCGCTCTCAAAACGTCGAGGGTAGCCAGCGCGAGCTTTGTCCGAGGCGGAAGCGCAGGGGAATCTGGCTCTGCGAGAGCGGTGCAGGCAGTCCAAGAGCCGCCGGAAGCCCATTCTGGTTTCCGGTCCCTGGCTTGCCCACTGCTTTGGGAGCCGATGCCCCCGGACCCCAGGTGGCGGTGGACATGGACACGCTGGGGCCCCAAGGGGCCTGCCAAGGAAGTTCGTTTCCTCGGGCGGCAGACGTGCACAGGTTCTGGCATCGCACCTGGGGCTCCCACGGAGCACGGCACAGTGCGAGGGCGCCATGCGGATGGTGCGGTCGAGGTCTTCCTGAGCCCAGCGGGCTTTCGGAAGCCACCAGGGCGCCAGAAGTGTTGGGTGCCCGGCTGCGCGACCCAGAGAGGGCACATCTCTTTCTTCCTTCCCCAATCGCTCCCTTCCTCCCTCCCTTCTTCCTCCATCCTCCTGCCCTCCTCCTTCCCTCCCTCCCCATCTCCTCCACTCGCCCCATCCTCCCTCCTTCCTTCCTGTATCATTCCGCCCTCCCTCCCTTCCCTCCCCATCTCTACCTCCCTCGCCCCATCGACCCCCGACCCTCTCTTCTCCACTGTGCCCTGCTCCTCTCCCCTCCCCTCCGCGCCCTCCTCCTGACTTGGCGCTGGGAGGCACAGGGGCCCGAGGACGCAGGCGCTGTAGACAGCAGAAGCGGATGTGAGCATGGTGCAGCGGATGGGCGCCACGGCATTCATTGCGGTTTACGCTTGAGCCTTGCACAGCGAGATCGGCATCTCTTTGACCCGCTCAGTGCGAGGTCCGGCCTGTTTTGCGCTCCGCCTCCATTGCTTTGGAATCAGGGTGCGGCGCAGGTGCAGGCTGGAAGCTGTTCGCCCATGGACCCATGGGAGGCAATAGAGCAGTGCGAGGTCCCGCGCTGCTATGTTCAGGTTCGTGTGACACCGGGTTCCGCGCTCGACCTCAAGGTGATGCAGGATCCGGTGCGCCCTGGGTGCACTCGAGGAGGGTGGCGTCACGGCATCAGCCCTCTGGCGGGCCACGGCCACGGGCATCAGCAACATGAAGCTGGCAGGTCTTCGAGCAGCGGCCGTCGCCAGCCTAATTAGTCCGGCTCGCGCGTATTTCGGCGCGCGCGAAAGTGGTACGGAAAGAATGGGTACGATGCCGAACAGCAGTTTCTGTATTGTTCATTTTGAACAGGACTCGTTGTCCCCGTCGCCGCGAAAGTTGTTCATTTGAGATAGAGGGCCGCCTGCCCAGCAGCGGCCGCTGTCGGTGTTGGACAACATTTGTTGTTGGGCATCGTACCATTTTTCCCGTGCCCATTTCGGGCGTCCAAAGCGCATCCCCTTCTCTGCAATCAGCAGGTCGGCAATTTCCAGCAAGTCTGCGCTCATGGTTTATCTGCAAGGGCAGGGTGCTTGGGTCACGTAATACCTCTTGGAGGCGGTGTCCGTGTCAATGGTCAGCGGCTCTCCCGCGGCGCGTCCGTGGGATTGAAATTGCCCTGCCACGCCAGAGGCCTCAAGGTGGACCTGTTGGTCGTCCACTCCAGCGAGGTCACCGAGACTGGGGGGGCGATGGTATGGGAACAAGCCGCAGCCATGAAGAGCTCCCTGGCGAAACTCAGCGGGGCGAGCTGCCCTCGGCGGGCCGCGTCGTCGCCCAGCGGTGCCGCAGTCCTCGCATTGAAGTGGGCGGGCTGGGCATTCACCAGCAGCGTGACTGTCGAGGACCTTTGTGGCTGCTGCTGGGGCCTGCGGCGCTTCCCGCGGGGGGTGGGAGGGTGGCGTGCGATGTGGCGCTGCCGGCCCGCTTAGCGCACGCTGTGCCCCACCGTGGGGCGAAGCGTGCGCCGGCGAGGCCCTGGCAGGGAGAAGCGTTGACATACGGAGCCATCGCGGGGGGTGGAGTCGCCTCACGGGGATAGCGTGCTCTTTGGAGATCGACGTCGCACGCTATGTTTCCAACGTCCAGCGTACTCCCGAGGGCGTTCAGAGTTGGTGGCGGAGGCGGCATTGCGCGCCTCGGATTGCAAGGCGCTGGCCACCCAAGGGGCGACTCGGCGGCAGCGGGCCGGTAGCGCTGTAAGGATTACATAGTCACTGGCAGGCGCGTGCCCGACGACCGTGTGGCGGCCCCCTCACGACCTCCTTCGCAAGATGACCGGCACGTGGACCAAGCGGAAGCATGCAGCCTTTTTTCGAAGCCTCGTTTCGAATCTCAGCTGGGCTCCGTTTTGCTTGTGCGAGCGTGCGCTCGTGGAGTCCGCGTGCGCGCTGTGCCGGCAGTGCCGCGGCGCCCTCCGGGATAGAGGGTACGTTTGCGTTGCCTATTGGGCGCTGCGCTGGGAGGTGGTGACGCGACGGCATCAACAGAGGAATGGCGCGACCGTCTCCCCAGGGAGCGAGCCCAGGGCGCCCTGTCAGGCAGCTGCGCGCGAAGGAGGCGCTCCCAGGGAGCTGCCAGGGCGCTGCGCACGCGCTTGGGAAGCGCTGCCTCGGAGCTGCGCGCGAGCCTCGGAATAGCTGCTCGGAAGCTGTCGCCGGTCAATCGGCGATGCATCGCCGATTCCAGCTCGATGTTTCCCGTCCTGAGCCAGTCCCCTCCCCTAGCGTGGCCCCTCAGCATGTGGCGCCGTCCCCCGCCGCCGCGGCGGTCCCTCTGCCCCCCCGAGCAGGAGACCGGACGGACTACAAGCTCGCCGAGCCGCTGCTGCACTTCTGCTTCAAAGCCGGGCTGGACGACCCGTCCGTGTCGAGCGTGGTGGCCCCGGGGTGCTGCTAATCGCGAGGGGGGCGCACGGGTTGGCAGTGGCCACCCCGTGTACTCGCCCGCAAGATCCTGCGCACTCCTTGCAGACAAGCGCACACTCCTGCACTCGTCGTCGTCGTCGTCGTCGCCGTTGTCGTCGTCGTCGTCGTCGCTGCCGCCATCGTCGTCGTCGTCGTCGTCGCTGCCGCCATCGTCGTCGTCGTCGTCGTCGTCGTCGTCGTCGTCGTCGTCGTCGTCGTCGTCGTCGTCGTCGTCGTCGTCCTGATGCTCGGGTCGTCGTCGGCGTCGTCGTCGTCGGGGGCGCGAAGCTGACCTCACCTCTCACCCTCGGCGGGAGAGGCGGTAGAAGGCCAGAGGAGGCCAGTGGAGCAGGAGCGAGGGCAGCAGAAGGATGCAGCATCCCTTCCTCGAGATACGACGCTGCAAACAGATACAGGCAACCCTCTTTGGAAAGATGGGCAACGTTCCCAAGGATACCCTTGCATCCTTGCCTTCTCGGTCCATCCTTTGCCACTTTCGTGGGCCGCGCCCCGCTCGAGAAGCTTCGACATGGGCGTCCAAGGCCCTTGCATCCTGATCGCGCATCCTTCTGATACGGGCCGAGTGTATCACATCATAGACAAACAGCTTAGTGGGAGCCGGGGACCCAGTCTCTCGGCGGCATGCTTCTCGAGGCGCATCGACAGGGGGTGGCCCCTGGGCCCAAAAGAAGCGGGTGACAGCTCGGGGCGAAGCCGCTCGGCGCTGGGGATTCGGATATTGGGAGAGGGCTTTGATGAAATGCTACATCCATCACCACATCGGCAGGCTCTTCCGGCTGCTGCTGATCGTGGCCTTTGTGGTGGATAGCGTTTTCAGCTATGGGGCTACTCCAGAGTTCGGGTGCTCCATTCACCATCTTCTTCTTTCCTTCTCCGCTCGGCGTGCGCAAGCGTGCAGCGCCCTCGGGGCTCTCGTGCAGGAGATGTGCACCTCCCTGGGGCTCGGGGCTCCCCGAGCGGGCCCGCATCTCTCGAGCAAGCCCGGCCGGCCCTGGCCGCACCAGGGCGTGTCTTCACCGGCTCGAGGCGCCGTCGGGGAGACGGGCTGGCGTGGCCACGGCTCCAGCGCCTTGCGCCTTGCGCCGATGGTTCTGCGATGGAAAGCTGATGGGCCTGTTTTCCACCACCACTACCACCATAAGTCGGATGGGGGAAGGAAGGAGGAGGAGGAGGAGGAGGAGGAGGAGGAGGAGGAGGAGGAGGACCCCCTCCCCCTCCAACTTAATTATGGTGGTGGTGGTGGTGGTGGTGGTGGTGGAAAACAGGCCCATCAAAAGCGTGACGTTCCCACACCAGAAACCAATGGACGTCCTGGGGTCTCAGGGTCGGGTTTCTTTGTGGAAGGTTTCTTGTGGTCGAGCCCTTACTGAATTCCCCGTCGTTGCTTTCTGCTCCGTCGTTCCTCAGGCTCATAAGGGGTCGTAGGGCTCCGGGGAGTCGGGGGGGCTGTAGGGCTCGTGGGGATCACAGGCGTCGCGGAGATCGTCGGGCTCATGCGGCTCAACAGTGTCGTGGGTCGCAGGAGGCTCATGAGGGGTTTTAGGGGTCGTCGTGCTCGTGGGGGTCTGTGGGCCTGACAGGGCTGATGGGGCCTGCCATAAGGTTCGGAGGGCTCAAGCGGCTCATTGGCTCGTAGGGTTGATTGGGATCGTAGCGCCCGTAGGGCTCGTTGGGCTTGATGGCTTAGGGCGTGTGAGGCTCGTTGGGCACGTAACCTTGTAAGGCTGTTGTAGCGCTGGTGGAGCTCGAAGGGCTGGCTCATGGCGCTAATAGGGGTCATGCGGCTTAAAAAGGCTTACAGGGCTCGAAGGTCTCGTAGGGCTATGGGGCTCGCAGGGCTGGTGGGGCTCGTAGGGCTCATGGGAGTCATGATCTCGCAGGGCTCATAGGGCTCATAAGGGGTGCATAGCGCCCGTAGGGCTTGTAGGGCTCGTCGGGCTCATAAGGCTCGTAAGGCTCATCGAGCTCGGAAGCTCCACAGGGTCGTAAGGCTCGTACAGCTCACAGTGCACAAAGGGCTCTCAGGGCACGGAGAGCTCATGGGGCTCGCATGGCTCAGAGTGCTGGAGAGGTTTCGCTGGGATGAGCCCAGCCAGGTCGTGGGGGTTGCAGGTTTCCCTTGGGGGATGTTCATGGGGCTAGCAGGGGTCGGGAAGGCTTTCGGGCTTGGGTTCATGTGGCTCATCAAGATCATGGGAATCGTGGGGCTAAGTGAGCTCGAGGGGTCCTGGGGCTCGCCTGTGACCGCTGGTGTGCACGGGGCAGTGGTGGATAGTGAGGCTCATAAGGCACGTGAGGGTGTGGGGCTGCTAGGGTGCAGGGGGGTCGCAGGTTCGGAAGGCTCGGCTGATGGGCGGTCGGAGGCTCCAAGAAGCGGGAACATTGAAATGCATGGAAGGCGTAGCAATACCGGGAGATTGAAGCGTCTGGGGATCTCGAAAGGATATCTTGGGTCTGTCGTGCGGTCTCGTGGGGGCCGTTGGGGCCGTCTTGGAAACGTCTTGAAGCGATTGTGGGCGTGTTGGAGCAGTCTTGGGCCCACTCGGGAATCGATCTGAGTCACGCCAGGGCGGTGGAAAAAGGCTGGGGGGGGCATCCAGATTTCAATCTTCAAGTTTCTGGCGATGGGAGCGCTTTGGGGAACAGTTCTTGGGGGGTGACGACCAGAGGGGGTTGCCGATGTGAGAGTATTCGACGCAGAATGTGTGTATGTATAGAACGAGTTACAAGTGGCACGTGTGTGCCCAGGCTCATACAAAAAACTGAAGGGGCGTTTGAAGCAGGAGTGAAATGCAACAGCGAAGTCGCACTCGAGCGCAAGTGGGGTTGCCACACCTTGCGATGTGTGTACCAGGGCCCCCCAGGAAGCCTCAGGAGGCCCGACTTGGATACCAGAAGAGGCTCCAGGAGGCCCCAGGATTGTGAGTGTTGTGTGTGTGTGTGTGATGTGTGCTCTGTGTTGTGCGTGCTTTTTGTGCGTTGTAGGTGTTGTTTGTGTTATGTTTGTCTAGCGTGTGATGTGTTGGGCGTGATTTGTGTCTCTGTGTGTGCATGTAGTTCTGAGGCCCCAGGAAGTCCCAGAAGGCCCTAGGCGGCCTCAGGAGGCCCTAGGAGACCCCTGGAGGCTTCAGGAGGCCCCAAGAGGCTCCAGGAGGCCGCAGGAGGCCCCAGGAGGCCCCAGGAGGTTTCAGGAGACCCCCAGGAGGCTCCGAGGCGGGGTCTGGGGTACCAGAAGGTTCAGAAAACCCCAGGAGGCCCCAGGAGGTTCCAGGAGGCCCCCAGGAGGCTCCGAGGCGGGGTCTGGGGTACCAGAGGGTACGTCGGGGCTCGATTTTGGGAGGATGTCTCAGGTGACATCGCCATTCTCTGAGAATCGGGGTCGAAATCATTGAAATTACCATGTGTTTTTGAAGGTTTGATGTTAAACTGTTGAAATTCCAATGTGTGTTTGGACCCTGACGTCTCGATTTGCGTGAGGGGTGCCACCGATTTTCAGAATTTCGAGGATATCCCTAGCGAAACGGCCAGAAACATCGCGAACGCCCCGCGTACGCATTAACCGCCTCTGAGCTCTACTCCCTCGGAGAGGTGCGTATGATAATATTTATGTAAATGTATTCCTCTTTCTGTCTTTGTACAAGCCTGGGCGGGGGAAAACCCGTCACCCCCCCCTCAAAACTGGACTCCCGGGATCTGGGGCTTCGGGGCCCTCCGGACGGGCCTCGAAGCGGCCCCCGGGCCTCGCAGGGCGGTTTGCCGAGCCTTCCCAGCACACCTAGATGGAGGAAGGATAACGAATAACATGATCATAGCGGCGATGCCGGAAAAGGCAATAATGAGTTATCGCTAAATTGTCGGCTTGACCTTCCTGCTATTCCGCTTGCGTGCCAAACTTCAAGGACCAAGGTGCATGGCGCGAAGCGCCATTGCAGTCTTGTGTGTATATATATATATATGTGTATATATATATATGTACATATTTGTGTGTGTGCGTATAGATACAAGAGAGAGCGTGAGGTGGGGAGAGAGAGAGAGAGAGAGAGAGAGAGAGAGAGAAAGAGAGAGAGAGAGAGAAAACAACAAAAGAGAAAGAGTCGGTTTAATGCAGGTTCGCGAGTGGGCATCTTCGGCGCTTCTTGGGGCAGTTTTGAAGCCGTCGTTAGGGCTCTTGGGTCGGCTTGGGGCCCTCTAGGGCCGTCTGAACCCTCTGGGCAATCTTGTGGGCCCCTTGGGCCGTCTGGAGCCCCTCCGGGGGCTGTTCGGGTGCCTTGTTGGGCCTTCTCGGGGCCTTCTTGGGCCGTCTGGAGCCTCTCTGGGGGCTCTCTTGGAGCGTTTTGGGGCTGCCTGTGCCCCTCTTGGGCAATGCTAGGCCCTACTTGGGTCCGACTTGGGCGCGCATGGGGTCATCGTGGAGCGATTTTGGGAGGGTTTTCGGACGTCTCGGTCGCTCTGGAGGCCGAGAAGCGGAGCATGATGACATGCCACCGAAACCGGCATAACTCTTACACATTGTGCCTTCTGAGGGTATTGTGGGAGCTGTGTTGGGGCCTTCTCGGGCCGTCTTGGGAGGCCGTGGGGTAGTCTACTGTTCATCTTGGGCCCATCTTGGACCGTCTTGGGCCAAGCGCCGAAGGGGGAAATTACGCACGGGGGGGGGTCCGATATAAGGATATCCGAAGATGAGTATGCCGACAACGTTGGTTTGTCCAGGATCTTTGGAGCCAGAAATGTACTCCGGGGACACACCTGTTACACTTCTGATCGCTTCCAGCGGCGCCTGTGTAAAGAATCCAGCCTCGCAATCATGGGCGGCGGCGTGCCAGGTGAGGGAGGTGGTCCTGTCCGAGGTCGCTCCCCTGGTGGGCAAGGACGGCCCGCTCGGCGGCGTGGAGGCCCTCCGGGCGGCGGCGGGCGAGGTCGCCGACGCGCTGGAGAAGAGGATCAAGGCGTCGGCGCCCTCCCGACCGAGATTTTGCTGTCCGCTGTGGGCACCCGGTGCACCGCCGCCATGACTGGCCAGGGCCATCCCCGCGCCCTGCAGTAGGGTATGTGCCCTCCCGGTCGGGCCGAGAGGGCCCATGCACCATTCTATGGCCCAGGTTGGCCCTGGCCAGGCATGGCGGTGTGCAGATGCCTCCTGCAGATCTTGTCCGCGATGAAAGGTTTGCCCATGCCGCCGACTGCTGCCTTCAATTGTCGACGCCAGATCGATAAGGCATGGAGCACAAACTGTGCCCCGAGCGGCCCTGTTTTTATCCATGCCCCCATTCTGGCACCTCGAGAGGTTGCGGCGTGAGCAGGGGTATTCATGAAAAACAGGTCGACTATTTGACGTTGTACGCTCCTTCTGAGCTTTCGGGAGGCTTCTCTTCGCCACGGTCGGATTCCCTTCCGTAATTCACGCCAGAATGCTTGACCCTAGACCCAGACCTCCAGCGTCATGAAAGAACCGCGGCGGTTAATTGCTCCGTCAGTCAGAGCCCTTGCGTTTCGGGCCCCGGGGCAGTCAAAACACATCCGTGACGAAAAGCGGGTCCCCTGCATGGTGTCGAGAGGTCTGGGGCCCCGTGTCGCTTTCAGAAGCCATGACGTCGCACGTTTGGGCCCGTCTGGTCTCGAGAGGAGCATCGGGGAGCACACAATGACATCTCGGAGGGGCATCGGGGCCCCTGGCGCGCTCCGCGCGCCTGGGAGGGGTCCAGCGCGGATCCGAGAAATCCGTATGGACCTCTGAAATTTCATGTTGATGTCATGACGGCGGGGGCGTTCGTTAAGGAATGTGCCCAGGAGCTTCCAGACCTTGGAGGATTCCCTATCCGATGAGGGCAGCGGCGATATCCATGGCCAAGCCACGATTGGAGTTCCACAGGCTTCGAGACCCTGGATTCCTTTTCCAATGGCTTCCAGGCCGCCCAGGGCCCTGAGCAGCCAGCTGCGCTCTCAGGGGCTCTCGCCTGCATGCCTCTTTCTTTCTCCTTCTCTCTCTCTCTCTGGCTCTCTCCCCCTCCCTCTCCCTCGACTGGCAGTTCCTTCGTGGCTGTGTCGCCCCCCCAAAAAAACTTCCTCTCCGCGTGAGCCGGGGCCGGAGCCGGGGCGCTGGCCCCCCCGTGCGGGGCCCTCCCGGGCTCCCCGTGCGCCCCCGGTCTGGGTTCCTTCGCGAGCAGGCCGTCTGGCCCGAGGGTGGTGAGACGGCGCCCTCGCCGTGCAGCGGAGGCCCATGCCAAGAAGGACGAGGATAAGGAGGAGGAGGAGGCGGAGGAGGAGGAGGACGCGGATGAGGAGGAGGAGGAGGAGGAGGAGGAGAAGGAGGAGGCGTCCTCGCCGTACAGTGGAGGCCCATGCCAAGAGACACCCTGCTTGCGTACGACGCAACACTCTACAACCAGCAAGCAGAACCCAGGCCACGGGAGTCCCACTTCACCCACCCACCCCCAGGGATGGCGTCATACCGTTCGGCACCCTCACCCTGACGTACAGTGGGGGCCCATGCCAAGAAGCACCCTGCTTGCCTCCAGGGTGCCCCTGGGCTTCTTGGGTTTCGATGGTTTTGCCGTGGAGAGCGTGACGCTCCCGCACAAAAAAAACATCGATGGACGTCCTGGGGTCTCGGGGTCGGGTTTTGCCGTTTCTTGTGGACTGGCCTCCGCTGTAGTTGTTCCCCGGGAGCAGGGGCGTCCTGTTTGTCCTGCTGCTGCAGTTGCAGTTTCTGCCACTCCTCTGGCTTCCGGTAAGTATGCTGGGGGGGCGCGTCGAGAAGGGCCAGGCGCTGGCTCCTTTCAAACACAGTCTGCCCGCACACGCCTGACCTTCTCCCTCCTCATCATCCTCCCTCCTGTCGCCTTCTCCTGCCCTCCTCCCTCCTCCCCCCGTCCCTATCCTCCTCTTCCGAAGTCTTCGCACGTGCTTCTCCTGCCTTTCTCGTTCTCCTCCTCATCCTCCTCCTCACCCCTATATTTCACCCTCTCCCTGTCTTCTCTCGATCTCGGTCTTTCACGTTCCCCCTCTACATTTGTTCTTCGTTTCCCTTCTTGTCATGTGTTGCTTCTTCCTCCTCCTCCTCCTCCTCCTCCTATTCATACTTCTTTTCTTCCTCTTCACGTCCTACTCTTCATCATTCCTCTGGTTCCTAGTTTTCTTGTTCTCCCCCTCGCTTGTCTCCTCCTCTTCTTCCCCCTCGTCCTCCTCCCTCTTCCTGGCAAGCCTTGGATCTGGACCCCCCGACTAGACCCAGACAGTGGACCTGGTCGCAGGAGTTGATCCCAAGCAGAGATGCGGTCACCCCAGCCAGATCCCAAACGGGAATGATGTGGCCCTCAAGGCCAGACACTTAGCCATGGATCTGGTCGCCTGTGTTGCTAAATTGCAGCCAGGGGTCTATCCAGTCACCTGGCCAGCTCCCAACCAGGGACCTGGTCATACTGACTCGAATCCAACCGGAGATCTGGTCCCAGTCATTGGGTCTGGCCACCCCTACCAGACACCAGACCTTCCTCTCGCGTCGGCCGTCCCGAATTTGGTGCCAAACAGGGACCTGGTCGCCGCTCGTCCGGATCCAAACCAGAAGGTGGCCACATCCAAACAGGAGTTTGCTCACTCAGGCAAGGTCTTGGCTTTCGTCGTCTCTTCTCGTCCTCGTATCCACCCCTCTCCGCCCCCACCTCATCTTCCTTCTCTACAGAGTGGGGGGGATGAGAAGGATGGAAGATTCGTAGGAGGATCTTAATGGTGATGCTGCTGCTGATGCTGATGATGATGGTACTGCTGCTGATGATGATGCTGGTGATGGTGGTGGTGATGCTGAGGTTGGTGGTGATGGTGATGATGATGATGATGATGATGGTGGTGGTGGTGGTGGTGATGCGGATGATGATGGTGATGATAACGATTACCATGATGATGCTGCTGCCGATGATGATGTTGACGTTGACGATGACGATGATACTGACATTGCTGATGAAGCATATGAAGATCATTATGATGATGAAGGTGAGGTTGATACTGATATTAATGATGATACAGATGATGATGATGATGATGATGATGATGATGATGATGATAATGATGATGATGATGCTGATGCTGATGCTGATGCTGATGCTTATGCTTATGCTGATGATGAGGACGAGGAGCATTATGATGACGATCATGATCATGATTATGAACATGATGATGATGCTGATGATGATGTTGATGCTGATGATGCTGATGATGCTGCTGCCGATGATGCTGCTGCCGATGATGATGATGATGCTGATGATGATGCTGCTGCTGCTGATGATGATGATGCTGATGATGATGATGATGATGATGATGTCGACGATGAACATCGGATGGGAAACTGAAGTGGGATGTTGCTGGGTGAGGACAAAGCGGCTGAGAGCGAGAATGATAATCGGGAAGGAGCAGGCTTAATGATGATGATAATGGTAATTCTAGACGCTTCTCGTAACCACACCAGCCCATGCGGAAACGATGCCCATGCGAGTAGTCTTGGTCAGGGATGTGGAGGAGGGTGCAGTGGAATAAAAGGGCTGGGTAAGAAGTCATTCCCCAAGAGGGGGAAGATGGAGGAGGAGTCGGATTAGGAAGAGGAGGAGAAGGGAAGGGGGGGAGGAGCTTGGAGGGAACAGTGCAAACCAAAGACTCATCAACGATATTGCAATCAACCCGTTCCCCAAGTTCCCTCTTCACAGGCCCCTGCAAGGGTTCATGTTCACTGAGGGAGGTACCCCATTTGAAGACAACCGTTATCCAGAGCTGTGCTTGAACACCATTCTTGGGACGTCATTGCCGCGAATCACCGTTATTGTTGCGCCTTGGCGGTCCCGAGCTGTGCCAAAACACCATCCTTGGGAGTTCAACACCGCGAGTCAACGTGCCAGCGTGATTGGTGCGCCCTGACATCCCGACGTTGTACCAACTCACAACTCGAATTGTGATTTGGTGCAACGTCGGGATTGTTTCACGTTCCACAGAATTTTTGTGGAACGTGAACCAATCCCTGAAGCTGTTACGAGCTCATAAGACAATATGCGCGGCGCTAAGGCAACAGCCGCATTTTGAAAGGAACCGCCCTCCGTGTATGAAGCGTTCGCGAACTTTTCATACGAATGCGCCCCGCGTCAAGGCGAAAGCCAAAGCGGCCCGCCCTCCATCCGTGAAGCCCTTGCGTTGTTAAAGACGGGTGCGCGCGGCGCTGAGCCGAGATACACATCTTGAAAATCGCCCGCCCTCCATCCGTGAAGCTCTTGCGTTGTTAAAGGCGAGCGTGCGCGGCGCTAAGGCGAGATCCACATCTTGAAAATCGACCGCCCTCCATCCGTGAAGCCCCTGCAAACTTTTACGACGAATGTGCGCGGCACTGAGGCGAGACTCACATGTTGTTAGTTACCCACCCTCCATCCGTGAAGCGTAAAGAAGTCTCAGGCGAAACGCCTGGCCCGCCCTTTCGACCGGCCTCGGGGTGCGATAGGGAGAAGTAATTTCCAAGAAATATGGATTGAGGAGAGGAGGAGGAGGAGCAGGAGGAGGAGGAGGAGGACGAGGAAGAGAAGGAGGAATAGGTGGATGAGGAAGAGGAGGTTGACGACCAGTGAAATGAATCCGATTCTGCCTCGCGCTACCAATGAAAGAGCGATAGCAGGCGACCGCGCATTCGCACGAGGGAGGCCCCGCCATTATCCCCTGTTCCCGCTGCTGCTGCTGCTGCTGCTGCTGCCTTCTATGTCGCTACACTGCTGGCGGGCTGCCCTCTGGAGGCACTCTATGGACTCAGGGGGGCCCAAAGCAATGCTCTTCCCCTTCTCGGTCCGTGGATGCTGCCCTTTCAACATCCAGCTCCAGCGGTGCTGCTGGACATCTGACGAGCGAGAAACCTTCACGACAACTCCTAGCCAAGCAACGCAAATCTCTCGAACTGTGGGCCCCGCACTTCGCACATCCGAGG